GTTCCACATCAGCCCACAGTGGGTGTGATGTCAACTCCCATGGAGATCCCCTTGTCCTTTGGTGAATTCTTGTTTTAAGTAGTGGGCGTTTAAATTAGGAAATTTTTATATAGAGCTAAGGCTCTAAACAATCAAATTAGGGCCTACCTCAGAAATTTCACTAGAAGAAGTTGTTTTGATGCCCAAATATCCTCAAATTGATCATCTTGAAATCAATATGCATGGTCATGAGAAAAAAATGTATTTCAAGTTTAGGAAATAGTGACCATCAATTTTTTAAGATTTTCAGGTTTTCATAGATCTGCCCGATCTACACTATTTTTAAAGCTTTAAATTTTATAATTACAGATGAAAATATATTTTAAGGCTATAACAAAGATTTCTAATATTGAAACCACATTTCTCGACACTAGTTGAAGGTGTGCTTCACTTTGATTGTTTAGAACCTCGGCTCTATACAAACTGCACCCTTTAAATTATGCTATTTTAAAAACTAGAAAATTATTTTAGGCTCATGTTAATGTGAAAAACAAGTAGTATGTACAAATGTGTGAGTCGTTCTAGAAGGAGCATAGAATTTTATATTTCAATTAGAACCCCAAGTGTATGTGGTAATTGTGTAGTTCACCAACTTGCACATGTGACATCTTATGGTTGGCTACACGTGCTCTTTCAAAATAGAGAAAAAGTTTTAAATTTGATTTTTGCTAGAATTATGCCTATTACCTCACAGGTATACGTTCAGACTTGGTTTTAAGTTTAATTATTAGAAAAGAGTGAGGGTGTTTTTATTCAAGAGGAATTTGGAGTGAATTATAATTTTTAAAAAGATGTTTAAATCTATACAACCCATCAAGATGGCATGAGGGTAGATGATGGATTAGGATCAAGCCTCTATTTGTAGTGATAGGATGATGATGTGAAATATGTAAATTCATCTATCTCGAAGCATTTATACACTTGGTGACTAAAAGCCTATAAATACACCCTCACTGAATCATTCCCACACACTTGAGTCCACAGTTTCTCTCTAAGTAGCACACCACTCTCTTATCTCCCAGTGTGGCATGCCCAAGCCAATTTCTCTTTCTCTCTCTTCACCCATGAGATCAAACTTAAGTGAACAATCAATTCTAGTGAGAGAGCTTCATTGATGGCTCCATTGATGATCAAATTCAAGCTCAATTAAAGTCATGGAAGATCTAGCCACCAAGTTCTTAAATTGAGTAATATCCAATCCTTCTTCCACTGATTTTGAAGTTCTTTCTTGTTGTAAAATCCAAAATTTACAACATTTCTTGATTTCTAAAGTTCTTGATTAATAATTAATTGATCCAAGATTGATCCATATAGTTAATGGCTTCTTCCATGCTTGATTGATCCATTTCCATGAGATTTATTTTGTGGCTTGTGGTGTTTAATTGACTGATATTTTTCAAAGATTCGACATTAAGAACAATCAATTAAAACTCTTAATTGATGGATCTAAATGATGATTTCACATCCATATAGTTGATGGTCCATGCTTGATTGATCTAGTTTTTATGAGTTTTTCTTTATGAATCAAGGATATTAATTGACTGATATTTCTTTGATATTTTGAAATCAAAATCAATCGAAGTATATATCATATTTGATGGATCTAACTGGTGAGTTTTTAAGGAGAGACTATGGAGAAATTTCTTCTTATCATACTGGTTTAATTTGAAACTGGTTTTATAATCTAGTGTCTCCTTTTTTCCCACGTGCCCACTATTAATTTGATAATTTTGATTTTTGAAAAGCCTTCCATCTTTTCAAGTATATAACAGTAGATGTTTCGCTTCCCACCTTTGATAAATTGAATTTGGCCAGAATATGAGATATGCAATCACATATCACTTATGGCACATAGCTAATACATAAGTGGGACTCAAGAGGTCCGATTGGCTTCCATTAATCATGTTGCACTGTTTACTTGAGCATTTGTGTATTTGTGATATGGAGATCATGATTTGGTGGGTTTTATGGTATTCCATGATGTATAATTTTGTAATGTAAAACTGTATGGTGCTAAATTTCTAAAAAGTGTCTCATACAAGTATTGTATGTAGATCTTAGTCTTTATTAGAGTATGTTTATCTTTATTGATATAGATCCTTATGAATACATAATGAGATATGTATATGTATGTATATATATATCTTTTAGGTGTCTCTTGGTTATGATAAGATTAGTTAATAGTTATCCATTACCGTTGGTATTTATCATTAATTATTACTGGGCATATATTTATACTATAGGTAGTTATCTTTAATTGTTACTGGCCGTATATTTATACAAGTCTTGTATATTCTTAATCAATCAATAAAGAGAGAGTTCTCAGCAGTATTTTAAAATAATCTTTCTTAAGGGCTTAAAGCCCAAATATACAGAAATACAGTTTCTAAAATGGTATCAAAGTTGTCTTCAAAGCCAATCTCCGTCAAAGCAAATTGTTCCATCTTATCGCTTCCTCTCGAGCAACTTGGTACAACCAAGAGTTCTGAGCAAATAGAAACTTGCAAACAAAATCTTCTCATTCGCGAGCAATTTATTGCATCCTTTGCAAGCAATAGAAACAGTTGTAGCAGCGTGCGGTCGTGCATTGTTTGCGCTTGCTGCATCTGTTGAAGGTCCGCAACTGCTGCTTATAATTAGTTTGCTAGCAAATCTTGCAAAAGCTTCTCCATAAATCTATGCATCAAAAGACCGCAATTGCACCTATTGTTTTGCAAGCAAATCTTACAAAAGCTTCTTCATGGTGCTTTGCATCAAAAGACCTTTTTCTTTTAAAAGGAGTTGACGTCAAGCAAAGATTTCGCCTTTGCATCACTAGGCCCTTGCTTTACAAATCTCCATCAATTTTTGCAAGCAAATCTTCGTGTAGTTCAAAACTATTTATGTGCGTCTTATCAAAAGCTTTCTATTGACAATCTCTGTCAACAAACTGTTGCACCAGTTTGTGTGATCTTCGTCAAAGCTACGTGAATTCTTAGGTGGCTACAGAGGTGTTTGCTGCCCACAGTCTTCATCCACCTCTAAAAATGGCCTCTGAAAATGGCCGATATGCGCTATCCGCAGAGTCTTTTTTTTGACTATCCACCGAATCGTTCTTCGACTATCCGTCGAGTCGTTCTTCGACTATCTGCCGAATTGTTTTTCGACTATCCATCAAGTCGTTCTTCGACTCTCTGCAGAGTCCTTCGACTCTGCTGTTTCTTCGACTCTCTACAAAATAGCCTTTGTCTTTATTCTGGCCTGTATTCTAGACTACGAGTTGCTGAATCTGTCTTGGATCCTTACCGCATTATGTTGGCTCTTCCAAGAGACCACTACTTCCTCTGTGCTTCTTCTTCAAGCAAGAGACCACTGTTTCCTCTGTGCTTCTTCTTCAAACAGGAGACCATTGTTTCCATTGCTCCTATTCGTCACGTCATGCACACTTAAAGATCCAACTCGTTCATTTATGCAACTTGTTGCTCTAACTCCAGCGGCTTTGTGTAAAAACATCTTGAGTTTGAAAGGGAGTGTTAGAATATGTTTATCTTTATTGATATACATCCTTATGAATGCATAATGAGATTTGTATATGCATGGATATATCTCTTAGATGTCTCTTGATTATGATAAGATTAGTTAGTAGTTATCTATAACCGTTGCTATTTATCTTTAATTGTTACTGGTTGTATATTTATACCATTGGTATTTATCTTTAATTGTTACTGCCCGTATATTTATACCGATCTTGTATATTCTTGATCAATCAATAAAGAGAGAGTTCTCTACAGTATTCTAAAATAATCTTCCATGAGAGCCTAAAGCCCAAATATACAGAAATACAGTTTCTAACTGTCTTAAATTGTCTTGGACAAGGAACCCAAATTAAATTGTATCCTCTTTATTTTGAATGTATAAGAAGTGTTTGATAATTGTAATTTCATTGATGTGCACGTAATTGAAGCTTGAAACCTGTAAAAATTTTAAGTTGTACTGTCAAGATCATTGTCGATGCAAGTTCTTATATTTTAGTTCTTACACTCGGTTTTAGCTATGAATATTTATTTTTACGTTTGCCCGTCTTATAAGATTATTTCTAAATAACCCCATCACAAATTGATTTTTTTAAGAATCCATTTTTTCCCTACTCTTTTTACCGTATTGTTTAGTTTAATTTTACTTATTCTCATACTTTTCCAATTTTTTGGAATTTTATAACAGTTTTTGGCCTTGCTGGCTGGACTCAACCCGACTTGGGCCGAGTCCGAGTTACTCAAGTGTGGAAAGGGGCCGAGAAGTAGCTTTTGTCATTGGCTGCCAGAGACCAGATTGCCACCCAAAACATTCTAGAGGACTTCCCAAGTATTTCTAGAGGCAAAACCTAACAACGAAGGGTGTAGTTTGTATAAGGTTGCAACCCTAAACAATCAAATTAAAGTGCACCTCCAAGTTTTATCACAAATACAGACTTCCCAATGGCTTAGAATCTATTTTCATCTCTAATTATTAAATCTTAAAAATCTTGAAAATAGACCATTCAAATAATATGCTGTAAGATACATTATTTTAAGACTCAAAATCTTTTTTCCTTTTCGTATGTATACATTTTGATGTCAAGATGATCAATTATAGGGTTTTCTTTTTTTTGGAGTGTGCACTGATCAATTAGAGGGTTTTCCAACATTAAAAAGAAAACTATTATGATGGATTTTTTATGTGCACCTTGATTCTATATTTTAAACTTTTTCCAATAATAAAATATGAAATCAGGTCAAATTTTAAAAATCCAGAACGCTGTACATGACACTTAGAAATCAAGCTATGGACTTCATTCGATCATACACAACCTCAATAAGGGTTAAAAAAAAATTACCCAAACAAACATCATTGAATTCTCATTCTAGAGCTCCCATAGACCACCAAAAAATGGGAAAAAATAAAAAAAAAGAAAGGAAGGAAGAAGATGAAGAAGAAGAAGTAAATTATTTCTCAAATGAAAAAAAAACCAACTCAATATTGAGAAAAATTTTACAAAATTTGGTTAATGTCACAAGTTTTACTTCATTTTGAAAGAGCTTGCAGTCATTATGCATCGCACTTCATCGAATGCTTGTAATCAATCACATGGGCATAGCCGCTAATACAAAACATCTACTTGCGACGCTTATACCTACAAAACAGAAAGTTTAACAGTAAACTGTTACTACTCAAGGACGGAAACAAGAAGTGACTGTAGAAATAAAGAAACTGAGAAAAAGAAGTACAATGTGTCTACTAAAGCTACAATTCTAGCATAAAAGAGTGGCAAAAGGCAACTTTGATGACTTCTTTTATATATCAATGCAACTCGATGACAACTCGAGCACAAACAACAGCAAAATTGACTGGGCATTTTCTGATTAAGCCAAAAAGGTATCAAAACTATAAACTCAGATGAAAACTTCGGCAAGTAATGTTTCAAGGGAATTCTGAAGCCAATTGACATGTAGATATTGACATGTTTAGCAATCGAATACACGGATAAGAATCAATGGATCTTAGCTAAACCTGCCTATCTATTATATGTCATTTTTTACGATGCCAGCAGCTGTCATGCACAAAATTCGAGAGGCTACAATAAGAAGTTGTGTATGGGGCATTTGAAGGACATAAATGTCATCATGTTAAATAGCCGACTCTCTGAACAATAGATTTGGGGAGCTTGCTTTCAAATAGCTGAAGGAGATGAACCTTGAATTCTTGGAGATGGTTATGAACGTTTTGTGGTGGCTGAAAATCAGCTTTGGAAATTCCGAAAGTCTCGGATGGTTTCAATTGGCTCAACAACCCTTGGAGACCATCTCCCAGGGTTTCAGGGGCTTCGAGCGAAGTGCACAAAGTCCGCAATGCCTTCATCAACAGCATTAAGTTCAATATAGGTGATGGAACCAAAATTCGCTTCTAGAATGACCTATGGTTGGGGGAGGAGTCAATAGAAGGTCCTAGCCAACCTTGTAGCCATTCCAGATCATGTAGAAGAGCTGTGCATTGAGAAGACTGGTGCCCAAAATTTCGAACCTAGAGACTCAAAAGATCAGCAAGCTAGAATCATTACAGAGTTGTTTGCAGTAGTCAGGAGGAGAACACAACATTTTATTGGGCCCCTACTGGCAAGTGGGAATCTTAGTCAAGTCCTTTTCACAAAATGCTTAACCAATCTCAGCAAAGCCAGGTGTTAGTTAGAAAAGTGTGGGATAAACCAAGCCCACAATGGGTATTGGCCTTCTTGTGGTTGGCTATGCTTGACAAACTACTCACCACAGATCATCTACAAAGAAGGGTTTGTCTATTCCTAATAGATGCACTCTGTGGAAGGAGAACTTGGAGTGAGTTAACCACTTGCTCCCACACGCTTGCCGGCCTCAACCATTTGCGCATAATTTAGTCAGTCATTCGGTTTATTTTAGGCTTGCTGGGCCTAAGTTGAGAGCTCCTTCACTGTGGTTCTCACCGCCAATGTGCCCACAATGGTACTCAATGTGGAGTACTGGAAATGGCAGCCATCTAACAGTTGCTTTGATCTGAAGAGCATTCAGTTGAAGGCAAATTATCTAGAAGTAAGTCGATAAGTTCAAGTCACTGATTTTGTCCTGGTTGTCGGTAGGAAAGAATTTTGGAGAATGTTAACAGTGTATCTGGAACTAGAGTGAAGGAGAATAGCCTAGAGTAATATCTCTGGGCCAAAACACCCCTCGAATGGGCAACTGCCTCCAATTGTCTCTACAAAGTTAAGACTTTGATGGTGTTTCACTAGGAAACCTGGGGGAGGCAAGTATAGAAGGCATTTTCAGGTTACACATGAGATCAGGTCCATCCTATTCCGCTTCTCAGGTCCAACCAAACCATGCGATTCTAGCAAGGTAGAGGTGAGGCTTTTACTAACAGGAATTAAACTATACCAAGCAGAGTGAGTTCCGTTAGTTGTTGGAGGAGATTCAAAAAGTGCGCTCACGTGGGTCAAAAAAGAAATAAGGTGCCCTTGGACACTATTTCATCTTCTCAATGGAAGTTTTGAAAGATGAAATTTTGAGTTCTCATTTACAGAAACATGGTGCGAGCCCGATGCACTGGGGGTTCTTTAGTAAAAGAGGGATTCGCCAGAACGCAAATTGTTTGTGATTAGGACAGGAGAACCAACTGCCCTACCTTGGTTTTTGATATGGTTATTTTTATATTTTTGCATTTCTACTGTGTCTATATTCAGAGGGTTATCCATGTAAATCTCATAAAATTACATCTCAATAAATTAGCTACAAAAAAATAGATCGACACCAGGATGATAAAAAGCTTAACACTTATTAAGTAAAAAAGTCATCTTATTCAAAACCCCAATTATGACATCCCTTCTCTCCCACTTCAATCCCGGAACGCATTGTTCTTATAGAGAGAAACACGCTTCCACATCTTAAACTGAATGTCCAAGGAGAGGGAAGGTTCTTTTTCTGGGTTACTCTCGGGAACAGGTCCAGTGGAGACGGGGTGGGGCCTGTAGCTCAGAGGATTAGAGTACATGACTAAGAACCACGGTATTGGGGATTCGAATCTCTCCTCGCCCACAACGGCCTCAAAAAGGATGGCTCCTTCCTTTATCTCTAGGGTAGGAAAATAAAATAATGATCAAGATAGCGGACACAAAGCTATGGAACTTGGATGTGGGTCTTTTGTTTTATATTTCTAATTCCTAGAAATTAGAAATTTAAATTCTAGTTTTATCGTTAATCACTGCATATAGTATTCATGGTTCGAATGAGTATGTTTGTGTTTTACTCCGCACAACTCTTCGTCAACCAGGCTAGCACAAAATCGCCGCACAAGTATTAGTAATGTCTTCCTTGTCATTAATATGCTTGCTCGCGGTAATTGTGGCCTATCGAGAGAATTGATGACTGCATCTTTGATGCACTGCTAGTACATCACTTGATAATTATGAATTGGCTAGTTCTAAATAGCCCTAGGGCTATCAAACAAAGATTATCCCTGGATCTACACCGAAATATTGCCTTGAAGGTGATTCTCAAATATAGCAGAAAGAGGAAGTACCACATGAGTAGATATATAGGAATCCAAATCTGTCGAATCACTCATCCTACAATTTTCCACATCCTAGGTTTCACATTCCGTCATCTAGCTTATGTTCTTCATGTAGCATTCAAACCGAATGACTATGAAATTACGTCGACACTTCCACATATTATGGGTAACGTTGGAGACATCTCCATTTTCCCCCAGGGGATCTTTACAATTGTCATTACTTAGCTTTCAACCTGCCTCTGACCATGAAAGGAAATGTGAAAAACCCGTTCCCCTCTCTTAGAAATACGGGGCTTCTACAGCTGTTTGACCAAAATGAGGATCCCAAATTACATGAGCAAATGGGTCTTACATGTGAAGGGTCTTGTACCCATGACTCAAAATTTCCTTGCCAAGCCACATGAAACAGATTTCCAAAGTCCACAGAAAGATTAGTGATAACTGACCAAAGTGAGCAGCAAACATATTCTGATAAAGACCTTCCTCAGTGATATCATCATGACTCTCGAAGTCATGTGCAGTAGTTAACCGTTAAAAAAAAAACAATGGATTTAGAAAACTGTGCAAATCTTAACCTTTGTGAGTGCACATGTGAAAGAGTTTTGCACGCATTTGCACACACAATTTGCAACATGACCTCCAACAGGAATGCCTGCATTATATAACATTAACTTCTACAACAAACAACAAATATTTTTGATAGTCTATATTAGACAATTTGCACAGCAAGCTATCAAGCCCATCAGAACCAAACTAGCCACTGCAACCAAATAGCTAGTTCAGCCAGTGGACAGAAACCAAACTAGGATTGGATGGTCTCACAATATAGATGTAAATGTGCATTGCAACAAAGTTCACAATTAATATTTGATTTACTAAATTGTTTAATGCATAATCAAAATTTTGAGATCTTTGATCAACATATGGAAAGGCCCAACAAGAATATGGGGCCAGAAATTGCAGAGGCGCAGGATCCAAAGCAGTGGCTGCTACAAGAATGGAATATCCCAAAGAATAGAGGCAGCTTTGCTCATGCATAAAGGGCTAGCAAGGGGTAGGGCTGAGTTCCAACCAAACCCATAATGAATGGAGAAAAGTTATCCAATAACAAAATCCAAAGTAATTTTATTTCAGGAGACATGATCCTTGATCCATAAGATGGCTAATAAATAACGAACTGGGTCATGACCCGATTGGAAAACTAGATCAGAAAACAGAGAAACTAAAAGATCACAAATTTTAACCTTCATTAAGACCCACTTCCAGACATGTTGGCAATTGTAGTGAAGAAACACAGCGAAGGGAGCTGCACTACGAAAAGCAGTAACATTTTACCATCACAATGTGGGATGTTGTAAAGCTAGAGATACATTTATTCCTCATTGACATTTATGTAATTAATATATCAATCCAAAAGATCATCAGTTGAATGAGAAAGGAATGTCTCCCTTGATTTGCAAGAATAAGGTTATTAGAGAACAAAAAATAGGATTGCACTTCAGAGTACAATACAGTCTTGAAGGTTGCGAAGGCCAAGACAATTCCCAGATGATTTCTCCGCCTCAACTGTTTTCATTTTCCAAAACAGGTTAGTGCATGATAAAATTTGGAAGTGTTCCGTGTTCATCTTAGCATCAACTGGTTTCAATGATGTGCAACACAAAACAGCCAAGCATTTGGATAGTTTAGACTGGCTCGAAAAACACGCTGATGCATTATATTTTAGGCAAGGTGCCACATGATTTCAGCCATTTGATTTCAGCTGTTTCAACCAGTGCTAAGCCCCATAGTCCATCAATTAAAACAATACCAAAGTGGCCTTGCTTCCACCAGTTCACTATATTTGGGCAACCCCCATTGAAAATCTAATTTGCGTGTATAAAGAGAAATTATTCCAGAAGCAACCACAATTGACAACATAGATTAGCACAGACATCAACATCAGCAAACTCTTGGAGACATCATATGCTGAACCTAGGGTATAAATTTCCAGCTATGTTCACATGTTACGGCATTTACATATAAACCGTGATTTAAAGGCAGGCGATAGGGCTTTACTAAACTTCTGAAGTTCACCTATGCGTTGTGAGAGAGAAACTGACATCCATATTCCAAAATAAAGCATCTTAGTGAACCCCTAGTTTTAGAATATGACTATTGGAGGTGACAGGTATATCATGATTGATTAATAAGTATGGCCTAGAAAACATTATAGCAAGGTTCACATGCCCTAACACTGCATGTAAATGATGATCCTCAGCCTTGGTGTATATAAATGAGGGTATAATCAGTCAATGGCCTTAAACAGCATCTAAGAATTGATCTGCTGGATAAAATATGGTTGTCTATTTAAGTGTCAATATGATAAGGAAAAATCCTTCCTTCAATGGAAATTTAAAACTGATCCCAACTCACTAAAAACCTGCTTAGTTACCCAATTAATTCTTTTGCACACCATCATGCAAATATTGTCTTGAGTTGTAGGTATATTCTACATATTTTTAATTAAAGATATGATTACACACCCAACAATTCTGAACCACCCAACAACCACATACCATATTTGGTAGTATAGCCCATCAACACATTTTGGCACAACTCATTTACATTAATTCTTGTTTCAATAAATCCTTTTTATGCTACCAGTGAAATACAGTAATTATCAAAAAAAATGAGATCGAACTATACTCTGCAGTTAAATCGAATTTCAATAATTGTGATATAATTATCGAACTTCACATGGAAACTACAGGTAAATCAAATTTCATATGGAAACTACAGGAACCGGGAAAGTCCACCAAGAACATATACAGAATATTTGTGATATAAATATTTTACCGTGATTTGCTTTTGAACGCGTTCTTTGACTTTTTCCTTCGTCCAGCACCACGTGCATTTTTCTTAGATCCATGGAACTGTTTTCTTGCACTCATGTCGGACTGAAAGAGTTCTTCATTCTCTTCTTTCCTACTTTGAGTTGACTGGGACGGGCGTCTTGATGATTTATCTGCCTTTTTAACAATCTTACCTGCTTCACGTGCCTTCTGGATTGCCTTCACTGACCTTGCCCGTTGATAAGCCAAGTCCACAAGGGATTTTCCAGATTTCTTCTCACCACCCTTCTCGTGGACAAAGAACAATGGTTAACTCACAGCGAAAGGATCAGTATATCACCAGGATTTCTTTAAATTTCTTACATATGCTGAATGAAGTATGTCACATGTGCCAAACAAAGAAGCCATGTATTACAATATTTATGAGGTGACAATTAACACTAGAATAGTGAACAAATTATCAGGTTGCTCAATTATACAAAACCATCAAAGAGACATTGCGAGACATATAAAATTACAATAATAGAACATATTTTTGTACTTTTGATGGGTTACAATATAGATCGTCTTGCATCGCTCTGCATAGGTTTTGAATTTCACAAAGATTTAAATGCGCAGCACCTCAAATTTAAAAATTGACAAATTCAACAGTAAAGTGGGAATATGCCAGCTAATGAAAAGCCAGAGACAACGTCTAGGATAGAAAACCTAAGGAGAAACAGTAGACTTCACGATATTGAGGAAGGAAATCCTTCCCTCCTTCCCTCTCTCCCTTCTCCATATTCCATTCTTGTACATGGCCTATAAGATCCCTTCTCTTTTTGACAGCTGCAGGACCCTCTTCTCTTTTCTGTAGTATACTCTTCACACACTCTTAGAGCAATAGACTTGTGGGCTGCCTTTTAGAACCCACAACTCATTGGTTACTTCGTTGAAACTATTTCAGCAGCATTAATATATAGTGTCGCCATTTCAAAAGATAAAATTTTGGAATTTGGTAACACTTGTAGGCAAAGTCTAAATGCGGTAACACAAACACACACACACGTGATGTATTTTGTCCGTCATCATCATGCAATCATGACTTTCGATTTTGAGTGATTTGATCATTAACTGTTTGAAAGTTCCGATACAAATAGATTTAGGTGCCATTTGAGAACCCTAATCAAGAGGGGCATGAAATTTTCCCTCTCTTTCTAGTGTCCTAATAGATAAAGCTTTCATGCATACATAGGATTATGGTAAAGTTTTTATTTTTATTCTTTAAAAGAGTAAGAAATAAGACACTGTCTTAGTTTTTTATTAGTCATTATGAATTTTAATTCTTTAAAAATTTCCGATTTAAAATAAGGAATCTGAAAATTAATTTATCCTTTCACAACAGAGTCCAAACAAATAAAGTTCAAAAATTCTAAAAATTATCCAGGATCCCTTAGTTTCCTATTTCTCAATTAAATTAAGGAATATTTATAAGCAACTTTCTTTTTCATATTTTAATTAAGAATCTTTGTTATTTCTAAAACAATTTTTATAGGTTTAAAATATGAAATCCACAAATCATTAATTTGATTCGCTGCACATGTACGTTGCACAGGGTGTGGGATAGTTAGTATGAGTATATGTATATAAAGAACATGTAAAAAGAAAACAGTTGACAGCATATAGATTTAAAAGCACCAGATGGAGAAGGACAAGCAGCAGATTACCTCGTCCAAATCATTATCAACTTCATTTTCATCCTCCAATTTCTCTTTAGCTGCCTCTAACCTCCGCCTCTTTTTACGTGGCATACTTTTCTGCTTATTAGATATCACAACCAAAACATAGAAAACTGTTAGAAACCCAAGAACTCATGGAAATAAAAAAAGAACTACAAAACCCAAGAAATACCTATCTAAAACCCAAGAAATACCTCTCGCTCACGGCGCCTCTCTTTTTTCATCTTTAGAATATCTGCTTGTTCAACACTCATCCGCTCATTTGCACCACTCGTGTTCCCCTTCACAGCCTTTAAGAATAAAATAATAAAACATCCGCACATGTGGTCTTATTCAAAAATCAAAACAGTTTTCCAATCATTCCCAATGTGATAGTATCCTTCTATTGAGGTCACAAGGTACAGTGTGCATAATAAGCATGCTTGCACCAGAATGAGATACATGTCTCTAAAATAATTAACACAAACCAACCATGCAGAAATATACATAGAAAGAAGAACAGACTAGTAAAGGTCTGATCTCAATAAACAATCATACGAAAGAGTAAACCATGGACCAGATTGCTTTTCGATGCTCATTGTAATTGTCGTACAAAGATTCCAAAGGAACATTACAAAGCAGCTCAAAGACATACATAGATCATGGCTGAAAGGTTCACATTAAGGTAGCATTCATACCAATCAAAATGGATGTGTAACTAAGGAAGCAGCTCAAAGTCAGATATTTGGAAATAATGGACCATAGCAAAGACTAGAAGGAATTACCAAATTCTACATGGTCAAGTTTTGTAATGGATGGGGATGGCCCCCCTTTATAATATGGACTTCGGAGGGAAGCTCAACATTGTAATCAGTAAGCACCATTTATAATGTGGAACTCAGATAGAAGCTCAGCAGTGTAACCAGCAGGCACGAGGGTATGCTCAAGGAAACATGTAGCCCAGTATCAATGTGCAGAGGTACAGGGAATAATGGATAGGTTGATGACGAACAATCAAGCCATATTGCAGGGGTTGAAGCTGATCTCAAACTTTCATAAATTTATCATGGAGGGAATTTCTTAACACAATCCAGCCAACTAAAAGGCGAACGATATAATTTCAGACCAGACCACACAAGTAATCTTTGGATCACCTGATTAATTTTAACTAGGAACTTGGTCATGCATATCTCATCGAGTCCTCGACTAGGGAAAATTGAATTCATCCAAATACATCATGCATGGATTTCAAATTAATGGATGTTTGGTCTCATTGTTTAATTTTTCAATGTTGACCCATAGTAATTATTTTACTTCAGTACGGTTTCAAAAAAAATGACAAATGAAATAGTCGGAAAAACTAAAATTCAATTTTAAAAGCAAATAACATTTTGGGAGTTTTCAAATAAAGCCTCCAACTACTCAACAAACCCCTACCTCCCCCGTGTTTTGTTTTATATGTGCCGACTCATGCCTAGGGGGGCGCCTACAAACTTCTCAACACCGCATGAAGACCTTGATGAAGAATTGTAACTAGAGAGAAAAGACCCATCTTAGGTAAAAGAATAATAGAAGAAGAGCTCCAGAAATGTACGAGTTGAAAAGTGAGTTTCTTAGATGAAGGTCCCTCTCTAGTTCTATAAAAAGCACCATAGATTATTTTGGAGATATGCATCAAGTTGTACCACATGCAGAAAGATAAGAGACATACAAGAAGAAAAAGATGGAAAAAGGAAAGAAAGATGAGATGGCAGAGGTCAATGATTATGGCAACAATAGTGAGCATTGCCAATGTCATCATGTTTTCATAGAAATGGTGACTGATGTAATGAAGGGTTGAAGGTAATGGTTAGAAATGGTAACTGATGTAGTGAAGGGTTGACGGTAATGGTGAATGGACTAGTCTTGGGGACTTTGGGATGAGGGTAAATGGAAATCAAACCTAGAGGACCAAACCTAGATTCAAATGATTAGATCACAAAATGAAAATTAGTGGCTACCTGCCCAACCATTAGTAGCCCCAATTTTTTTTTTTTTTTGAATATGTTAACTCTAAAACCCCAAGTTATTGATGCAGTCAGGCCAATCGAGCAATGTAGACTAAACTTCAGGGCCGGCGTTCAGGCATTTTGAGGCATTATTCAACCTAGTCTGCTGGGCAAAATCCACGTGGCAATATGGGGTCATAATAACGATTTTGATATCAAACGGAATAAGTTAGGCCAATGCGAAGTCAAGGCTATTTCTTAGGATCATTTTAGGACGAGTTTGTCTTAATGTATTTCGACACGGACAAAAGTGCTAAGTTCAAGTCTAATGCTATTTAGGAGTGGTAATAGCATCAGAATTAGGATTAGGAGGTCTAGTTAAAGTCTATAATAGGGGTAAAGTTAGGGCTTGGTTCTGATTTGAGTTGCTATTTAGAAACATGTTTCCTTGAGTTCTTGTGAATTTGGCAAAGCCATTGTAGCTAGGCTTGTTGCCGTCCTTTAAATTTTGAATCAATTTATCAGTGTTTTTTTAGTTGAAAGCAAATCAAAATGGAATGAAGTTTTAACATATGAAAGAAATCCAATAGCATCTGTAAGTGGCACAGGCATATGCATAATCCATCCCAGAGAGATGAAAGAATATTGACTAGCCTCAAGAATATTGACTAGCCTCATGGGAACAAGATGCAACACCGAGTACTGCGAAAGACTATAATGGGTAACATCAATAAAACATCGAAAAATTTTATATAAAGTTGCCATCTTAAATTGTAGAAGTATGATGTACCTCAAAAGTCCATTAGAAAAGAGTTTTCTGAAGTTGGAATACCTTCTAATTGATCATCTCAACCTCGATATAAATGGATATAAATAAAACGAAAAAAGAATTTCCAGTCCAAAAAATAGTTCATCTTGTAACAAGTTATTCGGTCATCTATTACCAAGTGTTTACAAATTTGCTTGATCTATTCCATTTTTGGAATTTTCAATTTTATTACTAGGGTTAAATATAAATTTTCAAGCCAGTATAAGGTTTCTCATACTAAAGGTACATCACCAGACAAAATTTAGAAGCACACCTTACTTCTACATTACAAGGAGGCAACCTTATGTAAACCTCCCCCATAAAGCATAGAAATCTACCTTTGCAGTTTTGGCTGTGAGCTTCTTCTCCTTTTCCGTTTCAAACCAGGTCTTTCTTGGGCGTGCATAAATTTCATTCTTATGCTCAATCATATTTTCTGCCTGTGGATTCCCAAGAGTTCTGCCTTATTAGCCATCGGATAATTTTAAAAAACTACCACCCAGAAAAAGTACCCCAAAACTTTTAACATGGGCCAATAAAAAAGAAAAACAACTTTTAACGTGGGACTGCAAAGAAGATAAAATTCATATGAACGAGTGGAAAGGGTTCCACACCTTTGTTGCTTCCATCTCTGCTTTCCTTAATGCTCTCTCTTCCCTGGACAAGATTCAGAATAACAAATATCATGTATCACATCTTACACAACATCAGTATTATTGTGCATAAATGTATCTGTGCAAGTGATTATGTGATGCGCATGCATGTGAAATAGCAAGATCATCTAGCACAAAAATGTCAGGACCTTTCCTCCTCAAGGACAGCAGCAACTTGATCTTCCATCTGTTCAATAATCTGGCCCCAATTAATAACAGATGACTCTGCCACCATTCTACTCAAAAGCTTTGAACCAGCCTTTCTTGCCTGTTCAGCATTCAATATTTCATTCACATTTTAAAATACCATGCCAGTAATAGATTAAAACTCTTCGATCAACATCTGTTAAGATCTTCTATTAACAGTATCCTAGCTATGTGCATATAAAACCATGTTTGCAATGCAACAATTAAGAGGGAGTAATCAATCTCCACTCAAAGAAAGAATTTCTACAATTAAACCAGTCAAAGAAAAGCTTACATGGCATCGCAGACACTCACTCAGCTAGTAGATGCCAAATTAGTGGTCGGACATACACAAAAATACATTATGACCATACAAAGAATTACGGGTCTCCTATTACTGACCATGGCCTTCAAGAGGGGACGATCTCTTTCAGTCACAAATGTGACAGCATATCCTTCCCTCCCAGCTCTAGCTGTGCGTCCCACTCGGTGGACATAACTGCATCATAAACCCCCCTATAATTTTATAAACGGAAGACAGCCAGTGCCAAATGCAGCAATGAAGAAGAACAAAGCAACCAACGCCAGAAATCTCAAATTGAATATGCAGGGTAGTAAATACAAGCAAAATGAAGCATGATGTAAATGTACATCACTCAACAATGGCTTTATATATTTAGATTACGAACATGCAGGCACTAAAATCTATGAGCATGGTGTAAATGTACAATCAAAACAAAAATAAACCAAGAAAAATTAGCACCCGTGGTACACCAAAGCCAGATACTTCATAGTTCAGATAAAAGAAGCTCATACATTAGAATCTAGAAAAAATAAAAACATACAAATATCTGACAACTCAGCTGTATAGTGAGGTGTTTCACAAAGCTCATACATTAGAATCTAGAAAAAATAAAATCATACAAATATCTGACGACTCAGCTGCATAGTGAGGTGTTTCACAACGTTAATTATGTCTATGTTATTCCCTGTGTGGTGTTTCCGACGATATCTGGAATATGTCCACTCCCAAACAACATAAACTGTGTCAAGAGCACACATAAGTTGCATGGGAGCACTCACTCCAGCGCTATATTAGTATAAAAGCCAAATATGTATAATGCATGTCTATATTTTCATTTTCATCCAAGGTGAATAAATAAAGGCATGCCCTAGGAGAGGAATTGCTTCTGAACTTGCGGATGCATCTATACATCATCTTGAGAATTGGCTAACAAAGTAACAATAACAAACATGATATTTAATAAGGAATATCTCATGAACTTTAATGGATAGAAACAATAGCAGCACAAGAAACTTCACAAGAAGAAATGAACCATATTCAAAGCCTTCTGAAAAGCCATCACCTTGTAATGTCTCTAGGGCATGCAAAGTTTATAACTGTTTGAACACCAACAATATCAAGGCCCTACAAAATCACACAAAGTGGATCAGTAAGCATGACATTCTAGGAGCTGTATTCTGGATCTTTGATGATAAAGCCCCAAAATATTAAGAATTACATGCTAACACATGGATGTCAATCACAACAGATAAAAGGGCCTTTACTTACACGAGCGGCAACATCAGTAGCAATCAGAAAATCGACCTCTTGCTTCCTAAAAAGTTCCAAAGCCTACAATACATTGAAAATAGTATTAGCAAAGTAACATGAAAGGATGGCATCCAAGAATCCAACTCAATAAATTCTAGAAATCGTGTTTTAAGTTCACTGCAAGAAAAGCTGCCCACACTGACAATTCAAACATATTTAGTTCCATTGCAGGAATAAATACTCAACAAATAACATGACTTTAAACATAAAGCCCTAAACTATCAAAAAAACGAGTGATTGAATATACCAAATCAATCTCCATGACCTTCATCATAAAGAATGACAATCTAATAAATGTTATACCTTTCACAAGCTATCAGGACATTCTCTGCAAGAACCAACTGAAGTGCAATACAAGCCAACCTTAAGTACTACAGCTATTGGATGTAGCATTCAAGGTACAACAGTGGTTCATTTGTAAAGCTATCACCAAATAAATGGCTCGCAAATTGAACTGCAGATGCAAATTTAAGGTGGTGGAATTGGTGTCAGCAAATCCCAAAAATGCTTTAAGAGCAGTATGTCCACAGAGATGAAAGAACAAAGAGACAAGTGAGGATGCTCTGGCTGAGAGACAAATTACAACTTGGAAGTAAACTCCAAGGTAGACAAAAGTAAATATGGGTGTCTGTGGATGTATTCTGGGACTTAAATAAGTAAACAAACAAAGAATCTCTATTAAAAACATATCAGAATAAAAAGAAGTTTTAGACATTAATTCCAGTTGATATCCTTTGCTGATTGATAACTAAAATTTGTTCTAGGTATGAAGTTCTCATAACCAGAAGATTTTTTACAGGACATCTTTCTGTCTGGAATCAAAATCAGCCTTCAACAAATCAATACAACTTCCCAGGGACATTACACAATATGTCTTTTATATAGCAATATCCTATAACATTGCCGCCTTGACATCTGGACATTTAGGTGAAGAAAATCATTATGTAAACCTCATCCACTTGCTGGTGTCACTTTTTAAGTATGTGGACTTCAGAAATTCTAACAAACAGGGAAGGAAAACCAGTAATCAGTGACCTATTATACAAATCAAATACAGGTCATCCAGCAAACCAGAAATGACGAAAAATATCAGCCTCAGTTCATGAGACTTTTACTTTCAAAGTTCTCCTTTGATAAGTCATGAAATAAGAAAGGCCAAAAAATACGCTGCTCCTCATAAAATTCAAAGGCACATTAATCATAGCATTTTTTTATGGACATCTTTGAAAATCTCAAAGTACAAGCTGCACCTTATAAAATTAAAAAATATAAGATCCCGGAAGAGAAAAATATGAGTTCTGACAAATGCATTGCAAAAAAGGAACCCCAACAAGGACCTATAAGAAAGTACCATGTTAAAAAAACAGAAGTGCAAATCAGATCTAGGATTGTTCTATTTATTGGCATCAAATAGATAAAATAACTGATGTATGGAAATACAAATAAAGACAGAATGCGCCACATTATTTGACCATCTGACCTAATATGAACAGATGGAAACAACCAGAAGAGCACAAACTTCATTTTTCTGAAGGAAAAACAACTTACATCAAGACGCTGAACCTGCGTGAGATTTCCATGAAGCTCAGCAGCTTTGAATCCGGACAGGCCAAACAAAATTCTCAACCGGTGGGCTGCCTGTTTAGTTCCACTGCCATGGGAGACTTGCCATTAATATCATACGGATTCCAATGTTGAAGTTCTTTAAAAAACATAACAATTTTTATATTATGAAGTGTCCATTTTAAACCAGCATAAAGCCTAAAACAAGCTGATGTCAATTGCATGTTATATTAGGATAAGCATTACTATTTCAACAAGAATATGCAGATTCTGGGGCAGATTCTATATTATCTATATTAGGAAAATTGTTTCATGTGGCAGGGACCGCATTTCTACATTTGCGGTCCCCAAGGTATAAAGCATCCATCTTAAAGATGGATGCAAATAGGTGGTCCATCTAAAAACAATCGAAACTAACGGTCCAAATGTTTTCTTAATAGAATTATTATTTTTAATTTTCAAAAATTATTTATTTTTCATATTCATGATCTTGGAGATTACATGTCCTTAAAAATTGGGTCCAAATATCCATCCCAAAATAGATTTTTATGAGGTGACTCATTTCTACATGGACTCATAGAAACCGTGTCCTTTATATTATCCCATTAAATGGTTTTTTATTACTTTTTTATTCATTATTCTAGATAATTTTTAGTACTAACGTTGCTTTTCATTTCCCTTCTGTTACCTTGGTCTGCCTCTTTGTCTAGGAAGCACCTCTAAGATCACTTGATAGAAAAATTTACTTCCAAGTTTTCTTCCTAGAAAGGCCAATTCTTTCTTTCAAGGGTAGACTAACCTGTACTAGAGCCACACTTGCCAGTATTCCCATATATTATATGTCCCTCTTTCAAATCCCATTATCAATCATCCTCCAATTGGAAAAGCTCATGCGAGATTTTTTGTGGTCTTGAACGGAAGGTTCCAAAAAATACCACTTAATTGCCTTTGAGAAAAAGTTTTATGTCCCAAAAAAGCAGTTTGGGAATAAAAAATTTAAGAACCATGAACCTTGCCCTTTTGAGAAAATGGTAGAGGAAAATTTCTTCACCACATCCCCTCCTATGGAAACAGGTCATCTTCACTAAATATGGAATGGGTTTGAAGAGTGGTTGCCTAGATCCCCACCTCATAGGTCCTCTGCTGCATGGAAAAGTATTTCTTCCACCAAAAATGCCTTCCTTTATCGCACTAGATTCAAATTAGGCAATGGTCTACGCATCAAGTTTTGGTCAGACCTCTGGATAGGTCACACACCTCTCAACATATCTTTCCCCTCTCTTTATTTATTGGCTAGAAATCAAGCAGCTCACATAGCTGAGTATGTAGAATTCAGTGGATCCAACCTTGAGTGGACTGCAATTTTCAGGACAAACCTCTCAAAGCAGGAATCAAATTCCTTTACCTCCCTCCTCCAACTTCTACAACCCATATTCAGCCCATTGGCACGAAAAGATGTCTTGATTTGGTCCTAGACCTCCTCGAGCTCTTTTTCAGTCTCTTCTTTCTATAATTCCTTACTCCCACTTCAAAACTTCCAACCTCTGTACAACAAATCTTGGTCCCTTCCTATCCCCCATAAAGTCCAAGCCTTCATTTGGGTCCTCCTCCATGGGAAGACACTTACTTTAGAACAACTGCAATGTCGAGGTGTATCCTTCCCCAACAGCTACATTCTTTGCCAACAAGAAGACACTAATCTTCACCTATTCATTCACAGTGGTATCTCCATGGGAATCTGGTCATCCCTCCTTAACCTTTTTGGTCTGCAATGGGTCACTTGCCCGACCTTGACTATACCATTTGAATCCCTTTTCCGGGCCCCCTTTCACAAGAAATGGTAAACTTTTCTGGCGTTTATCTATTGTGGCTCTGCTTTGGAGTTTGCGGATAGGGAGAAACACTAGAACTTTTAGAGGCACGCTTAAAACCCAGCAATCAGGTTTTGAAACGGTCTCAACCCTAATCTTTCTTTGGGCCAAAATGATACCCATTTTTTCAAACATCCCAATCTCCAACTTTTTGATAAATTGGGATTGTTTACTTAATTTATCTACCTCATCAAATAGACCTCAACCTCTCTGTACACCCCCAACCCCAGGTTTCTTGAAACTCAATGTAGATAGATGGCTCCTCCATAGGGAATCCAGGCCCTCTGGTATTGGAGGGCTACTTACAGATTCAAATGCAACCCTTTGGACCATCTTGAAATTCATAGGAATCAAAGATTCCACATTTGCCGAGGCTTGGGCCCTACTTGAAGGCCTAAAGAAGGTTGTACTAATGAGATGCAATCCTCAGGGGATAGTTGTAGAATCGGATTCACAAAAACACTATCCTTTCGGCCACACATCAAAAGGATTCCCCATGGCAGCTCAGCTCAATTTCTGAACATATCTCTTTCCTTTTGCAGAAACCCCCCATAGATTCAATTCAGACTGATTTTTTGAGAGGCCAACGCAAAGGCCGTTCGTCTGGCAAAAGAAGGTGCTACCCAGGGCATAGGTACATTGTTTATCCCTTGATACCTATCCCTCACTCTTTCTTCTCAATACTTCCAAATCTTCTCCCCCCTTGCTCAACTCTCTCCCACCCACACCCCCCCCCCCCTTGAAGACCTAAAGAAATTGTACTAATGGGATGCAGTCCTCAGGGAATAATTGTAGAATCGGAATCCAAAAACACTATCCTTTAAGCTACACATCAGAAGGATCTCCCCCATGGCGGCTCAGCTCAATTTCTAAACAAATCTCTTTCCTTTGCAGTAACTTCCCATAGATTCAATTCAGACTGATTTTTCAAGAGGCCAACGCAGAGCTTGATCGTCTGGCAAAAGAAGGTGCTACCCAAGGGACAGTTACATTGTCTATCCCTTGATACCTATCCCTCTCTCTTTCCTCTCAACACTTTCAAATCTTCTCCTCCCTTACTCAACTCTCTCCCACCCACTTCCCCCCCCCCCCCGCAAGTTTAGCAGGAAAAAAAAAGGGGAAAAAAAGGTCTTTTTTTTTTTACTTTAGTCGGTTTTTTTAAACAAATCTTTCTATTTCTCTCTATCTCTTAGTTTTTGTCTTCTTTTCTTCCCTATTTTCCGTTCATCCATCTTTAGGGCTCTCTTCTCTATCTTAGGATTTGCTCTCTTTCTCTGCTCCTCCTCTCCCTGTTCATCTAGTTTCCTCTCTTCTTGTAGCCCTCTCTAGTCTTACATCTCTCTTCTCTATCTCTCCCCCTCCTCTTCACCCCTCCCTCTACTCTCCCCTCTGATCTCATCCTCTCTGTCTATCTCTTCCTCTCACACCCAAAGAGAGACTCTTAGCTGCTGAAAGTTGTAGCAGAGGTTTGCCGTGCATTGAACCAGCCCACAATCTCTCTCCCCCTCCCCCTTCCTTGACAAAGTCATTATACGCCCTGCTAACTGGATGCTGCAGTGGATACCCCATACTCACCCTCTCCTACGCTCACTCCCAATGAGCAACTCTGATAGCTAATGCAGAGGTCCACTGCGTGCAGGAACTGCCCACTATCTCTCCCCTCCACCCCCCCCTTCCCTCCCCTCCCCACGCCTCCCCTCCCCTCCCCACGCCTCCCCTCCCCTCCCCTCCCCTCCTCCCGGAGTCTATTTCAGCCCAGCTAACATGTTGCTGCACAGAATGGTTATTTTGAAGACCGGTTCAGACCACTCAACAGATAGTCTCTCCCATCTTCCCCCTCTCTCGCTCTACCGCTGTCTAGTAGACGAGATGCTACTTACGAACTCTACTCATCAAGACTTTATCCTCACTAGAAGCTTAGCTCGAAGACCAACAAAAGCATCCCTCTCCAGCTTTTTTGGATATTTTCACATCTTTACTGCAATTAGGCAGTTCTGCTTTTTAATGCATTTTAAGGTTTTTGTGGACCACCTTGACGGGTCTTTATTTATTACTGAACCCCTTCCCCTTCCCTGTATAATTGTCTAGTTCAATATTTACTTCTTGCTTATGTAGTCTGAGCACCCAACCTGTGGATGGCATCTGTTTATTAAACTCCATGTAATTTCTATGCTATATATAAAAAGTCAACATATTTCAAAAAAAAATGTACAAGTATGGTTCTATATACAAAATACTCATACAAAAATGTCCAAGAAAGTACAAAAAACCCCACTTATCATCAGTTGCTTATTCTCCAGAGTTTTTATATATGACAAACAAAGAATTGCTTGCCACTCCCTCTCAAGCTAGGGAGTCAACCAACTCATTGGATTCTCTCCATAAATGTTCGATGATTTGCAATTTTGCAGTAGCATACATTACTTTTTCCAAAATGTTCGCCAGACGCCAAGGCCACTTTTCTGTTCTACTAATTGAAGCTTCAGCAATGAGCAAATCTCACTCCACTAAGAAAAAGACCAATTACAGTGCTCAAACATTGGCCTTGAAGTATATTATTCCAGTGAATAAATTGAAGTCCATTTTACTTCATGTTTGTATGCCACTTCGAGTAACACAAATAAAATGCAACACAATAACATGTTTCACCCAGCACACCAAGAAAAAGAAGTTTAACTCTTTCACAACCTGAAGATAATCACTTTAGATGTAAATGTTCGCGAGCAGAGTGCTAGAAGAACAGCTTCCTGATTTGCTTCTCGCATTGGCCTTATCCTAATTACTCTGCATGGGAATAAAAACATTTGTTGGTGAAAAATGCAGGGTGATAAATGCAGCACATTATAAATGTAAACACAAAAAAATCTTAAAAGAGAGCAGAGCATGAAGACAGCAGAATAATGCTGAATGTCATGAAATCAACTTCGATATATCCACTTACCAAAGTAGCAATCACAAGGATCAACCCTGAAGCGATAAATAAATCTTAAAAAGTGGTACAAAGAAATCATTGTATGAACTATTAGCCCTCACCAAAACACATTATACACACAAACATGCAATTTACTGAATCATATGACAAGGTGAGGAAAAAGCTGCTCAGAACCACCATTTGCTTCAGAAACTATTCATTCACCTTAATGCAACAGCTGTATCCTTACAACACAAATGGCACTGACCTCATTTTCCTAAACATGGAGAACGTCATAGAAAGTGCATGGTAATCTGAGGTTCAGAGTAGACACTCAGAGTCAATGGTTCAAAGAAGGATCGGTGTACCAATTCCTTTCAAACTATGCAATTAGAAGGGGTTGGGCTCTGGGGTTGAATTATTAGGGTGTTGACAGTTATGGCACGCATCCTAGGCTGGAATCTTGTCTTTAACCCATCCAGGAAAGGTAATAAATGGAAAAGAAAAAAACACGAATAAATTAGTATTTAACATGATTACTAAGTAGCAAAATTTTAATGTCCATGGTAACCAAGGTTATCATGTTATGAACAGGTATCCTCAACGCAGCCTTGCAGCAACACAAGTGGCATAGTGTCCAAAGATAAGTCGGATGGAAGAAACATATCAGCAGGGTCAATGCCCTCAATCAAGAGGAGAACTGATTTGATTCATGTGCCTTATACCCTGGACAACGATGCCAACGTCACAATCTGTAAATGTTTGAGCAAACAAGGAGCAAGCCAAGCAACAACATGAGAAAATGGAGGATGAAAGTGGATGATACATTGGAAAAGTGCATAGCTCTAAATCCTCTTTCTTGGATACATCCATTGTTGTTATCCTAATTCCAGCTACAAGATATTGCAAGGTACACCTTCGGTGCACCATGGGTAGGAAGCATTGGTTAGTTGGTATTAAAGCTGAACTTCTACAGCATTTCAGGAGGGAAACTACTGTCCTCCAGTTTTTTCAGCACAATTTTTGAAAGTAAAAAGTATTTTTTGACACTAAGAAGTATCAAATTCAGATAGAAACAAAGCATAATAAGAGTGTCCGAATCATGATAAACACAAATGCCTGCTCTTTTCCATAAGGAAATTTACATAGGCCACCAACATACCTCTTTCCCTACAAAGGACCTCCAAACTTTTAAGAGGAATAAAAAGAAGCCCCCAAATTCCAACATTCAGCCAAATAAACCCCTGAATAGGACTTCTCTAAAATTCCAGACCAAAAATGTGCCTACAAACCTCTAATATTCATATGCAATGTAAAAGGGCAACGCATACAAAACAAATACCTCATTGGCAATTATATTTTCTTGTATTGGTAACAAAAGTTTTATCAACATTAAAAAACAGTAAGGAATAACCAGTGACATATTATAACTAGGAAGAGGAACGGAAGTGCCAATACACCCTTGAGATACATATGATACATAAAACGGCAACTCATACAAAAGAAATGCCACATTGGCAATTATTTTCCCTTTTTTGATTGGTAAGGAAAGTTTTGTTAACATCATATAACAGTCAAAGAAGGAACAAAGATGTTAGATATGCCAAGGTGGCATAAGTAACATGCAGTGAAAACTCCTATATAAACAGAGCAGCCCAGTTGATTAGCTACTATATCAGCGTCAGTATTGGCCTCGAAAATTTTGGAAAGAGAGGAAACAACTTAATACAAAATTTTAATCTTATCAAACATCATCACCAAAAGCCAAGGATGGGAAGCCTTCTACCCGCCCATGCATTAAGGTCAACCACTCCACAACCAGCAGGGACTTCCACCCTTTGAAGGCATAAGTGCAAACCTACCAACAATGCAAAACTCTCTGCAAAAGAGGAAAAATAAAATACCACTAGGCATTAAAAAAATAAGATTGTCCTTCCCTTAAAATTGTTGCTCTTCATAGAGCACAAACAAGTCAAAAACAATCCTTTACAAACTATATGATACACGACCATGACACGAATAATCATGTAAAGTTGTAAACAAGGAAGCATTATGACAAAGTAAAAAGTAGTTGACACGGGTAATAATGTAAAGTTGTAAACAAGGAAGCATTATGACAAAGTAAAAAGTAGTTGTCAAAATGGGAACCGACGCATGTAATGAAATATGTGTACGAATGGGTTGATTCATGATAAAGAACATGCAGAGGCCCAAAGATAGAGAGAACAGACATGACAGTGATTCCCTTATGACCCCCATCATAAGGTTTATATTACCAAATGTATTTTTTTTTAGTGAATTATGTTCCCAAATGTTTAAAAACAATACTGGTAACTTAGCAAACAAAGGTTCAAGACAACTCAGCAAAGACAACCAACACACTTCTCAAACTTGCTCTGTATTTCTCAAAGTTTACTCTTGAGGAAATTTCCAAAAGACTTCACAAATATCCAACCAAGGCAACAATTAAACAAATCCAGAGACATCAAGTAAAATATTGCTCCATATTTCTAAACTGACTGACATATTTTAAGTAATATCTCTACTCTACCAAGGTCGAAGAAGGGTGAAGATGTTAAACTTTCCCCTAACTAGTCCCAACCCAAAGAAAAGGAGGTGGTTTGTATTAGGTAGGCAGCCAATATAAAACTTTGCCAAAACTTTCCATGAATCTTGAATCTACGATGAAGATGATCAACCTGAGTGATCTTTTCAGTATTAAAGTTCACAGCTAAAAGGTGTGGCTATGTGGAACTCAAGGTATTAAATTTTCAAAAATTTCCTTTTACTTTTATTCCAAATACCTGAATTTCACTTACATGAATTTCACTTACATGGACCACAATATGTTGCTGTAAAATTAAAATAATGCTCTAGATATAACCTAGGATTTTTATTTTTATTGTCAAGAAAAATAGAAACTATCCAAGAACTCTAAATTAACTTCCACCGTAATTTTTAGCACAAAATAAGTTCCTGAAAATTCACAAAAAATGGAAAATAATACTGAAAATTAATTAAAACTACTGGAAAGACTTACTGAAAGATGTTTACAGTTACCCTACCAGGACTTGGTGCTCCCTACACCCGATTCCCTGACCAATGACACACTTTTTCTCCTTTAGGTGTTGCTGAAATTCTAAGATATGGAAGTTTTGTAGGCAATACTTATTTTTCTGGGGTTTTAAAAAGGGGGAAATATCATCGTACCCCCTATTTTTGGTTTTCATATCTCAATAGACCCAAAGATTCAAAATATATCTCTTAACCCCCTGACTAACTTTACCAACTTTTAACTATTTTTTTAGCCCTAACAAATATAAAAAAGACATGTTCATTCTAAACTCTTCTTCTCTTTACACGATATCTTCCCCCCACATTTCTCTCTCTAACATTCACCCTCTTTGTCTCTTTAAAGGGAGAGAGAGAGAGTGAGAGACACGGGGGGAGAGAGTGGGAAAATAGGTAGAGAAATTTAGGGGAAAATCACGCGAAGAGAGATAAAGGATGGTGTTTAGAAAATATATGCTTTTCTTATATTTGTTTGGGGAAAAGGTTTAAAGGGGATAAAGTTAGCTTAGAGATTTAAAAGATATAAAACTTAGAATATTTATGACTCAAGATATGTTTTGAAACCTCGAGTCTATTGAGATATAAAACTTAAAAATGGGGGGTATGAAGATATTTTCCTTTTAAAGAGCTCAAAAATAAACTAGGGTTTATAGAAACCTTATGGGAACAAATTAGAGCTGAATCTGTGAGTTGATCTCTCTCTAGGTTGGGGTTTCTCTTCTTTCTTCAAAAACAGCAAACCCTAGCCCAAGAATTTCATGTGCCACCATATTTGTCTTTAACTTTTGGGTGGTATGAATAGAAAAATAGAGGTGAGAGAGGGTGGCATCAGAGAGAGAGAGAGATCCCCATTTTATGTGCATGAAGGAAAAAATAAAGATGGGAGAGAATCGTGGCATGACAAGGAGAGACTTCTCTCCCCTTTGTTTGTACATGAAGGACCAAATAAAGAAGGGAGAGAATTATGGCGTGAGAGGGAGAGAGAGATCTTAGGGCATGAGAGAGAATCTTGTTGTAATGAGAGAGGGATCGAAAATCTTGTTTTAAATAAAAAAAATCTATTTTTTATTTTGAATAAGATTTCAATCTAAATATACCTTATCCAATTTCCTGCTAGACATTTAGGATAAATAGGAAATCTGTGGGGTGACAGATTTAATCGGAGTCATCCATCCTAAAAATTAACCATCATAATTTTGAGTGGAAAGATAGGAACCTTATCCCCTTAGACCTTGATCCGTGTCTAACTCTTAATTAAAATAGAAATATAATAAATCTTTATCATAGATCCCAAATCTAATTTAAATTAGATTTCCTATATAACTTATTTTTATGAAAAGAAGTGCACATACTCTTCTGTGAGGGTTGACGGGCGTTTGGTCGATGGATCAGCCGAAAGACGCACAGGACTAGTTAGAGATAATTTTATTAGCTCATCAACTTCTTCCGTCATGGTTGCTGAAAAAAGCATAGTCTGACGACGTTTAGGACAGAGGCGAACCTGCAACACTAGAAACATGAGCATGTCTTCATTCCCACAGAATTTCATGACCTTAATACCTTATACTTGAAGTTCTATTTGTATTGGAAATGCATACTAAGATGATTTACTTTTAATATAAGGGGGTCAAAATCATTGTTGACCATTAAATGTGAAATCAGGGGGTTGTGGATGCCTCATTGACCAGGCACAAAGTCCAAAATAAAATTTCTCAAATGTTGTGAGACACTTCAGTCTATCGGATTTTACATCCAATGGCTAAAAGTGATTGTAACCTCCATGCTCCAAAAGTGAATAATCTTATAGTATACAAGCCCGTTTTGTTTTTTATGGTTACAGTTCTATGTGCATCTTCTATGACAATTGTCTAAAGCAGATTGGCCATCCATTTGTCTTCAATTTTTATGATACTCCTTGAACTATAACAAAGAGGAATTCACCAGTTAAAGATAAGACAACCAACTAAACAAAGTTCTCAATCCTTAGAAGAGCAAATTTTTCAATCAGTATCCTAGAATAATGATCTCAAACTCCTCTAGATTTTCAAAAGAAAAACATTAGGAGAGTTGGGAATGCGCTTTCCAAGCTGCTACAGTAGCTAGCTCTCCCATACAATGAGCTTGGCCAAACATGACCAAAAGGAAAAGATCCACTTGTTTTTTTTCAAGGTCTAATGATCTCATCCAAGAAATTTGTCGACCATGGTTATTTTGGAAACAAGCATCAGTGAGGTCCACATTGATGATGTTATAATCGGATGAGCTGGTCCGAGTCGCAAAACGTTGTGCCAGCTCCACCATATTGGACCAAACAATCCAGTGAACTGGCATTGGACAAGTGGAGCAAGCTAGTCCAATGTCTGGATAGGCCGATCCAACCAGCCCAATGCCAAACTGACCAGTACTAATAGACATTAAAAAGACAAAAATAAGCCTTTTGAGTGGCTTTTTTGGTCCTCTTAAATTTATTTTGGGGCCACTTTGTTAATTTTCATTATAAGGAAAGATTTTGGGTTAGAAAGATGATTTTTAGAGAGAGACCACGTTTGGCAATTCCTCATTTTCTCCACAAAAACCACCATCTCTTTGGTGAAATTCTGATGCTTTTCAAGGGGTAATACGGCAATCCATCCTTACTTTTTTGAAGCCCGAAATAAGTATATTTCAACCCTTTCTTCATTGTCTGATTTATTGTTGAGAAGATAGAAAAAAAAAATAAGAATATTAGGGTTTTGCAAGAATGATATTTTTATCATTTTGTACAAAACAAGGCAATAGAATGTTTTGTTTCTTCATGTCAATGGTTGTTTTGAATTGAGATTGCCGGTTTTTGCTTAGATGGTAGCTTATATGCATTCTATGTTGTATAAAACTTAGTTTCTTGTGGTTTTATGCTTTCAATTGCTTTTCTATTTTATTTTTGTTTATTTAACACTTCCATGGAATTAAAAAGTATTTTCATTTGTTAGAAATATGTCAGGTTTTTCTTTTATGTGTAATACCCATATCATGGATATAGAACATCTTCATGTTAATGGCTGTTTTTTTCATGATTGTTTGGCATTTCCTTTTGTTCATTGTTATTTTTGGCAAATGAAACATCCCTTATGACCGCAATACTCATATCATGGATGTTGGGTATTTCCATGTTTTATGTTTAAGTGAAATTTGACTTTTATAAACCTTTTTTTGTTTCTTTAATGCTAAAATGCAACTAGGGACAATGTTGAACTATTGAAACATTTTTACAATTAAGGTTTGACTATTTGAACTATTGAACCATGCTAATTATATATGAACAATTCACTATTTGTTGTTCAATTGTTTCATTGTTTAAATCATTTCTTCATACTCGTTCAACATTTTTGTTTGTAATAATTATTTATTTTTTAAGTTTTTTCTAGATTTCTCTATTTTCCATAATTTTCTATTTTTTCTCATTTTCCTTTTCTCCATTTTTAAATTTTTTTAATTTATTAGACCCATCCAACCAGTTCAACTAGTTGGTCCGATTGAATGGTGCCCTCACAGCCACCGTTTCTAGTCCTAAAAACATTGGCCTGCAATGAAGCCTCAAGGTATCTTTCTTATGTAGCCAACTAAAGGCTGACAGAAGATGTACAGCTCCTAGTATTTATACACATGCCTCACTCCAAAGGATTAACGTTACTAGACTCTCCACCTATAATAAGACTGGGTTTTCTCTCGACCCGTCACTCCTTCATTGTTTCACTATTTACAGATTACACTTGAGAGAAAAAGAGAGAAATGATGACAAAATTCAAATTAAATACACCGCACTCCTATGGTTTAAAAATACCAGCTCATGAATCTCAGCACTGAATCCAAGTTCCAAAAGACGATCTGCCTCGTCAAGAATCAAAACAGCAAGATCTTCCAAGCCTACTGACTGTGAATTGCGTAAATGGTCAATCATTCGCCCTGGGGTGGCTACAACAACATCGGGTCTGGATCTTAGAGCTGTCTCTTGGACCTGATAAAAAATAAAAGGATGAAAATAAACACTAACAGGATAGAGAAAATTATAGATCTCATAGATACAATAAGATAATAGTAATAAATAGTTAGGCAAGCGGTTTAAATATATCACAAGAGACAAACATTATTGTGACTTCCAACTAATTGCTGGGTACTTGAATCAAATCACCACGATGACATTGTAATCGTATAATCCATGTCACAGAGAGCAATTAGAGTCAGGAATTTGAAAGATGACAAAACGTCCCCCCAAAATATGTGACTTAGATAATATTTCATTCCCCATGCAAAATATTCAAACTAAACCTAAAAATCCTTATTTCAGAAAAACAAGAGCAAGACTGAAAGCCATTCATATGATAAATCAACCAAAAAGAAACCCAGCCAAAATATAGAAACACATGACAAAATGTCATTCAAATAGTACCCATTTGGCTCCATCCATGGCTGCCTAATAACATGTTTTCAGATTTAAAAAAATGGCTATATTTGTTTTTGTTAACACATAGAGAATGCCATATCTGGTATAACGATTACCATTTAACACAGTAACTGATGGAAGCATATAATAAGCATACCTTCATTGAAAGGCCACCAAGAACCAAAGAACACCGGATATCTGTGAATTGTGCAAGTTTCTCAATCATACTATGAACCCTATAAATAAGCCAAAGCATACAAGTACTTTTAGTTTCAACAATTAAGTGTTTTTGAGTCAATGCCACCAGACAAAAAGAAATTAACACGAATTAAAATTAATCAAAAGCATGATACCCCAAGCCAATCACCAAAAAAAAGATTAATGCCGATTAAATGGACACTGAGGAATCCAATGAGATTATGTTTGACATGACATCTACAAAATGATATCTCTTTATATCAAATCAGAATGTATAGCAATGAGAATACTATTTAGGGGAAACATTATTTATTTATTTTTAACATTATCACATGACTCTTATTAACTATGAACAAATAGAGTTAGGGAAAATATTATTTAATGCATCAAATGAAATCAGCAAGGTTATGGACGAGTTAACCATGCATCTACATGATGAGGCACCATAGTATGTTGTTCGCAGAGGACATAGTTTTGATTGATGAGACTAGAAGCAGCATCAATGCAAAGTTAGAACTTTGGAGGGATGCTCTAGAATCTGAAGGCTTTAAAATTAGCCTGTTTAAGACAAACTATATGGAATGCAAGTTTAGCCATAATAACAGTAGAAACGATGTAGTAGTAAAGACTGATGGCTAACAAATACCTAAAAGAGATTTGTTTTATATCTGAGGTCGATAATCAAGGAGAACTGAGAGATTTAGAAAGATGTCACGCATAGAATCAAAACTTGGTGGGCAAAATGAAGATGTGCATCCAGAGTTTTATGTGATCGCCACATTACCAATGAAACTGATGGGGAAGTTTTATAAGACGGTTGTAAGACCAGTCATGTTTTATAGGACGGAATGTTGGGCGATCAATAAACAAGATATCCATATGATGTGTAGCTGAACTGAGGATGTTGAGATGCATATGTGGCAAGACAAGAAAGGACAAATTCGGAATGGATACATATGAGGGAACTTAGGGGTGGCTCCAAAGGGAGATGAGGGAAAGTAGACTTAGGTGGGTTGTCCATGTGCAGCGTAGACCTAATACAACACCAGTTAAGAGGAGCGATTTGGTTCAAGTGGAAGGTTCTAAAAGGGCAAAGGAAAGGCCCAAAAGGACACGGATGGAAGCAATGACGAGATATTGTGATTTATGGTCTGACTAAGGGTATGTCTCTTGATAGAACAGAATGGCAAAACAGGATTCATGTAGCCGACTCCAAATAATTGTGATGAGACTCGAATGATAACGATGATCATCATAATCATCATCATTTAAGGCATCAAAATCCCATACAAAATCATTAGAGCGGTCAAAACAAACCAATTAACACTAGAATGTTTTGTAATTTTCATTTCAACTCTTTAAAAAATATCTTTATAAATGTACAAATTGCCCTTTGACAAACCCTAAACAAGCAGGGGTATTTCAATAATTTGACCTACCTAAGATGGCCCAACCAACATGCCTGCTCATTCAAGGTCTATCATATTAATGAGGCGCTCATGAAAGTAAATTAGTAAAATGAAAAACAAGTAAAACCTCCCTTCTAATAACTTTGTAAGGGGTTTTGATGATATTTTCACTAGTTTTTAATTCTGGCTACATATTTTTGCTTCAGCTCACAAGATAATCGAAAAGAAAAGGAAATAACCCTTAATGATGAATATAGAGTGCCATCCCATAACAATCACCACGGCACAAATTGGGGGGAAGGGTGGGAGAGGATTCCAGGGGGTCCCAACACCCAAAGCTTTAGCAAAACATAGATTAGCATTCACGATTACTCCTACCTACCAAAGTGCTACCAGACATGCCATCTTGTCCATGCTCACAAACCCATGGCCATTGGAACAGCACACACTACAAACATATTGGTCACCTAAAAAGTGGGAAATAACAATATATATAAACTCTATGAGTCCAACTAGGTCTCACCCAAGGCATTCGGTACCAGTGGCTAGCTAGTTAAAGCTTATTTTGATACGAGTCTGACCGGAGTCCATCCAACTTGCACTTAGTCTGCCAAACTTTGTCCAAGACTTTGGAAAAACAAATCTTTTTATGAATGGCAGTATCTTGATATAGAAATATCAAGTTACTCAAATGAGCATACAAACTAAGGACACATGGTAGGGGGCGAAGAAATTGGAAGGACAGTGGGAGCAATTAAGCCAAGGAGACGAGGGCAGGGGGACAATTACATGTCCTCCCTTGCATTTACAGGATATGCAATTGAGTCTACAAAGTCATTTGCATTCACTCCACAATGATGAATCTACAAGGAAATCTATGAGGAATCACTCTAGGACTCAGGTGAGTCAGCTCAAGCCAGGTCCTTCCTAAGCTCATGAAGAAAGCCTAAAAATTCCTAACAATTAGGGAATAGGGGGGAAAAAAAAGAATATGAAAAGAACTATGAAAAAACCCTAAACTAGATTTTTTTTTTATTTGGCTTCAGATCTAGTAGATAGAAAGATCTTGAAATTTTTGGCCAAGCCATACCTAGATATTGCAAATCTCATAAATTAGAGATTTTGAGGTTTCTTTTCTTTTCTTTTTTTTTTATTTTTTGGGGGGTTGACTCTAAGCATGGGATTCTATAGAGACAACAAAAATAGGCCAAGCGACAAATTTCCAAGGTAAATGAAGCTCGGATTGCAAAAAACAAGCAAGAAAAGAACTTCTGCCAAACCTTTTAAAAACAAAAATCTCACGAATCTGAAATTTGAATGTTATTTTGTTGAATTTGATCTTTGGAATTGATTGACAATAAGAAAATATAGGGACAAATTTTGTGAGAGATTGGAGAAAGAACAACAAAGAACAAGCAAGAAAAAGGGCTCTAATCATCCCCTCCCCACCCTCTCCTTTTCCTTCTTATAGAAAAAAGAAAAGAAAAGTGTTGGACTAGCAAGTTTTTGAGGACTCGCATGAGGCCCCTAAACTAGTTCGACTCTGATGTTAACTCAACTGAGTTAATATAGCAACATAAGCGAGTAGTGCTACAATACAAGCCCCCAACAAGCTGGGGGCCCTCCAAACTCAGTAGGCGGATTAGGTGAGATTTGAAACACTAATGAAACGTAACCATATTTCCCTCTCAAATATCATGGATCTCCAGAGTGTTGGCACCTCCCCACATGACCAGCCTTTCCTCACCAGCCAATCAAATCATATTCATAGAATCTCCCTTGAAAATTGAAAAGGTTTGGAAGAAGATCTTAATTCCTTTGAGAAGGGCAATTGCATGAGCCTTTTTAGCATTACCAATACAAAAAAGACCCGCATGGATAATGCAAGTAGTCCTCAAATTGTCTCTAATAGATCCCCAACACCAGAGGGCCCCAAGTCTCCAATGAGCTACTATCAGGTTCAGCTTCAGAGGTCCTTCTAATGGGGGAGTCCATAGCACATGTAAGCCACTTTGCGTCACTCAGTTATCAACCACCATTCCTCTGCTCCCTAACTGGCTATTGTGAATGCATACCCTTAGTAAACACCCAAGCAGTAACCAGGATTAGTGTACCATATGAATTAGGTTCTTCCTAGATTAGTGTAGGAACTTAATTCATATAGTACATTAATAAATGCTTAACATTCTCCCCAGTCCCCAGGTATATAGTACATTTGTTTAGTAATTGTACTCCTCTATGTTGTAATGGTTCCCTATCAATACCTTGTTAAGAACAGCCAGCCAGCCAAAGCAACATACCTCAGGGGTGGCAGGACATTCCACGTGATCAAAGTTAGCAAGTCGGGGAATAATAAAATATTGGCAGACCAAAACAGCGGTAATAAATCTGTTTTATTTCAAAATGTCGGAGGAAAAAAAATCGGGTCAAAAATATGGATCTCTAAAACCTGAGGTAAGTTGGAGAATCGTGAATATTTTGGATTTGGTTCAAAGAAATATAGTGAAAAAATCAGATATGTAAAGATGATACAATATAGGATTATGATTTCCAGCCATTGTATAGATACAATAAAGCCATTAAACAATAATTGTATAGCCTTTCTAGTGACATTAGAGTAATCCTCGATAATTTTTTGTTGAAGCTTTCAATAAATCCAGCAACAATGCTTACTTTGTTGTCACAGCACAAAACATATCGTAGATTTATTGGGAGCATAAAATGAAACAACAACAACAATACTAAACAAAATTACTACTTAGCAAATAATAAGAATTGTGAACCAAGGTATAGGATTAATTTTCAAAGAAAAAAAACAAAAAAAAATTCAATATAGGTTGCAGTTAATTAAAAGAAAACACAAAGACCCAAATATGTAAAATAGTGGTCCACCCAAAATGCTATGTTGTATACACTAATGAAATAAAAAACACAAAATAAAATATGAAATTAATCAAACTTCTTTATGCATAAAAAAAGCTACAAAATACTTGAGAAAATTTGAATCTCGCACTAAAGTCCTAGCTACCTAAATCTTTAGTATCATTGAATCTCTCTATTGCTCTTTATAAGGATGCTATGAGTTTAAAGAAGAACAAAAAAAATTTGATTGGGTTACTCTTCTTCTAATTCTACTTATTATTCTGAGATATACGATTGTTTTATTTTCTTCTTTATTTGGGGAATATTTTGGTTGTATTTTTTCGTAAACGTTTTTTAAGGGAACTCATTGGTGAAATTTTTTATTGAATTTTTTGTTAAATTGAGATTCTTAATCTACTCGCACTGTTAATGTACTTATATTTAAACCAAAATTCAACAATATCAAGTTAATAAAGAAATAAAGTTATAAGGAAGAAGTTTTTTTGAAAAAAGATAAAATACATATTTATATCAGTTCCATTAAAAAAACGTGAATTTTTTAAGATCTTTTGAAACATTCGAAGTTCTTAACGGATTTCAAAAAATCATAGATTTTTAAAAAAATCGTGTTTTAAACGGAGACTTTCTAACTATGCTTTGGATGGAGCTTTGTCCGAATTGAAGAGTATCCTAAGAATGATTTTGCAGAGAACAACCCCTTCTCATATCCCCAAGCGAGCCAATCTGCCCTGTTCTTTGGGATATACAAAGTTGTCCATGAGTTCAAGGATACCATAGTTTGGTCTCATGATCAGCCAGATCCCTTCAAAACACAAGGCAAATACTAGTTAATCCCCTCTTCTCTCATCGAAATCATAGGCCAACGCCTCTTGGTTAGTAGCCACCCCATGAAGTCTTGAAAGCCTCTCCCAAAATGGTATATCCCCACACCTTAAGTCATCCCAAAAGAAAGCATAATTCCCTATACCTGTACTTTATTTCTGATGCCTGCCCAGTTGAATTGGTGACCTGTAAGACATCATTCCACATTCTAGAAACCCTTAGAGTATTGCTTGGAACCATCATTTCCCGTTACTCTCTTTCACTCCCATATTCACCTATAATAACTCTTTTACAAAGTGAGTAGCATGCCATGTGGCTAAGTACTTTGTTTCTAGGCATAGGCTTACTGCTTACACACATCATCTGACTTAAGCAGGTGGAACTTCCTTGTTTCATTGTTGCCAGGCCATAAAAAGCACCTTTTCATATGCTCAATTATGTCAACAGCTGAGCATGAAGCCCGCAAAAGTGACACATAATTAGTGGAATGGAACTCAAAGTAGCCTTAAGTAATCCTCCCAACCATCGAAGGAAATAGCCCCTTCTATGGTGCCAACCTCCTTTCAACCATTACCACAACAGGACCCCATATTCTCTGATTGGTTTTTCCAACACCTAGAGGAAATCGGAAGTACCAATTTGCAGAGTTTTCCACTTTACACCCCACAGATTTGCAAGAAGTCCTAGAAGATCCGGTGACACATGGACTCTCGACATAACACTTTTACCCAAGTTGATTCTCAGGCGTATAGCAATTTCAAAGATATACGGGATACGGTTTAGTTTTTGGTTTTGCTCCGCTGAGGCATCACATAAAACTGTAAATGTCACCAGCTTAACATAAGCGAACTTCTCCCATTTTTGTGAAAAATAAAATAGGAATAGGGGTTCCCCTTGTCGAAGTGCGCCTCTAAAGAAACTGGGATCAATTTATCAGTACCACATAAGATGTTTAGGATATGGAAGCATAAATCCACCGACTAATCAATCCCATCAAGGTCGTCACTAATGTAATATCTTCTCAATGCAGTTATAAGCTTTTCAAACTTTAGAGCAATAACTGGTTTAAATTCCCTGCTCCTTGAATCTCTGCATTTGTTGGCCATCAAACAATGACGAAACTAATTGGTCTAAACTCCTTGGCAACTTCAGCACCTTCCACCTCTGGAATAAGAGTAATGAAGGTAGCATTTAAGGCATACTTATGGTAGAACAAAGCAAACATCTCACTGATATGATACTTGAACAAGTCCTAATTCTCTTGAATGAGGCTATTGTAAAGTCATCCATCTAAGAGCTTTGTCCAGTCCTAGACCTAGAGCAAAAACGAGCCTCCTAAATTTCATTCTACTCGAAAGGCTTCCAAGAATCCTCTGCCATCTCTGATGTGATCCTATCAAATTCCACACTATAAAGCAGGGGCTTCCAAGTTCCATGAGCTTCGTATAATTTCTGATAAAACTCACTTTTAGCATTCCTCACCTCTGGTTCTCCGTTCCTCCTACTCTCAACCACAATATCGTTTATCTGGTTATTCCTTTCTCTGAGCATTTACAATCAAGTGAAAGTATGCTATATTCTTGTCCACTTAACTCTTGATTTTTGTCTCCATCTTAGCTCTTCCAAATACAAGGTGTCACTGCATTGTATCTCGAGTGAAGCCCAGGTAAGACTTTCTTCTAATGAGTGCATATATGTTTCCTCCTTTCCATCAAGTTCCGAGATTTCCTCTAAGATCTTGTGCTTTCTTTACAAAATATCTCCAAAAGTTTCATTTTGCCAATTCTTCAATTTGACTATGATTTGCTGCAATTTACCACAAATATTCCCTCATCCCTCCAATCCAATGTTTCCCACCAAGCTTTAATCATGATCTTAGAGCCAGGATGCTCCATCCACATAAGTCCAAACTTAACTGGGATTGGCAACATTCTCTAATTGATTCCTGGATAATGAATTGCCATGATCCCCCATAAAAGGAACCATCAACTCTCATGAGCACTAGATCACTTCTATTATTGGACCAGGTGAAGCTTATGTGTCCCATGTGTAACGAGCTCACATTGGCACACAAAATCCAAAAAAAATTATGCTACTCAATTATTCTACTCCCCCAAAGAAAACTGAATTCCATTAAAATCCCCCCACACAAACCCCCCCACCCCCCCACCCCCCACAAAAACACAAAACCCCAACCACAAAAAAAAAACACCATGGTAGATCCCAATGAGTTCTCACCCCATCTAATTTATGCCAAAATTTTACTTCTACATCTTAGATTGCTGCTAAGACCCTTGCAAAGGATAGGAACATTATTCAAAAAGGGATACAAATTGAATAACACTCCATCTGGAATTTTTATGAAACTTTTGCCATCCCAGATAATTACAATGCCACCAGAAGCACCAATAGACAGTAAGGCTAGCAAACTGCACCTCTGCTTTCCCCGGATAGATTTTGTGAGTCAACTATTAAAAGTTTGCACTCCAGAATCAATATGAGCTTTGTTTTGGTGTATCATTGCCTAGACTACACTCCCTCTACAAGCCTTACCCAGTCCTCTAGCATTCTAAGAGAGAATTATCATGGAGATAAAAGGGCGCTTTGTCACAGGGCTTAACTTAGCATGCTGTTCTTACAGGGACCACCTCCTGCCTCATCATAGTTGATAGAGGACTGGAGATTTTTTAGATCCCAATGCCCTTTGGCCTTCCCATGCTTAAGTGTCCACTGCACCACCTTCTGTCTATGTTTGCTATAAATAAACCACAAATCGTGGCGTATAACCTTCAACTAATACTCCCACAACTTTTTTTAAGGGATCTCTGAAACTTGATGACCATCAAGAAGTTCTCCCTCATTTCAAGCATCAACAAGTAATTCAAACAACTTATTTCTTATGTTACGTCTTGAGTCTCCAAAACCCATTGAATATTCTTCAAAAAATATAATTTCCTAAAAATCGACCTCCCCATGCCGACTCAGGACTTGCTGAACCGACAGACTAGGCCCTGCCCAGTTCTGTACCCGGTTCCATGGTTTAAAACAAAGGCAGACCAACATAATCATCCTCATAAGTAGCTGACTTGGAAATTACAAATTGACACACAATCAGCATGGGTGTCCAAGCCATCCTCACTTTAATAATCATGCAATCTTGAAACTGGTTGAGCAACCAAGTACCAATCTCCTTTATCATCAAGAACCTCCAGCAACCATAAAACTCACAAGGAAACCCTTAATGGACAGTCCAAACTCAGCTCACCAAATAAACCTAAAATTTTATCTTCCTCAAGAGTACCAGATAAAGACTAGCATGGCAGATACAAGCGCTTCCTCTAAATATACATTCTAAAAGTTAGCCTGAGGGAATCCAGCTGATAAAGTTTGATATTCCCAAATCTATAAAGTTAATCTTATGTCAAACCCCACATAAGCACATTGCAAATGTACCTCTAATGGCTCCTGTAAAGTTCTAGAGTATTAACTTCACAGTCCAATAAATATCATAAAATAACCAGGAAGGGATAGAACTCTTAACAATTTTCAGATAAATGACTCCAAATCATGGCTTCGGCATCAACAATTGTTGGATTCAGGAAAGTCTAGTGGACTCAGCAACTAGCCCATGCCTTTAAAATGCTCAATAAGTCCAATCGCCAATTTCCTCTCAAGCAAGTTTTGAGTTTTAAGGACTCACAAGTAGATTCCAGGGATCTAGGTATCTAAACAAATGGTTTAAACTTTTTTCATACGGCTAAGCACCACTCTACTCCTCCCAATTCTCAAATTTGAGATCCATAATACCTAACAGCAACCCTTTTCAAAACCCTACGAAGAAACCAAACTCTCATCTTCAATGCTCTCCTGCTAACTCGTTAGCCAGCTTTCCATTAACTATCATTTTTTTGTCCTTTTAGGGTGGATGGGGGGAGGGGGAGGGAGAGGTGTTGGTTGAGTGGAAATTATACGTTAGTCCTTCAAAACTTTCCAATGCCCATGGAGCAGTTCCCACAACCCTTACACTGAGGCAGAACAGGCATGCAGGCAGGATTGTTTGTCTGGTCTAGCAGCTTCTTTGTACATTATTTTTTGCTACCATTATAAGCTAAGGAAGAGTTTCCCCTTTTAGAGTATGTTAGCTAATTCTTATTGTATAGAGTCACAATTCATCATAACACTATCTTGCCCATGCACAAGTGTATCAGCCAAGTTGCAGAACATATAGTTTTCACAGAAGCAGAAGAATGATGTAAGCTTCAATGATAATCTTCAGGAATACAGGTATGAATAACACCAAGCAAAAAACTTAAATCACAAGTTACAGCAACTGAAATTTAAGAAGGAAGGGAACCAAGAGCTACTAATAAGTGATTATGCATAGATGTATAAGGCATAAAATACAACTTACTGTACAGCCAACTCTCGTGTCGGAGTAAGAACAAGTACTCTGATGGCTGGCACACGCTTAGGACGGAAAAGGAGTCTCTCCAACACTGGTAATCCGAAGGCAGCAGTCTACAACAACAGAGAACAAGAAATAAGTGAACCAAATCAACAAGAACTAACCAAGTTGCAAATATCACATGCACATGCATAAACACAGGCAAAGGTAAACACTTCACATAACTAATAAAAGATCATTTGCCTATGATTCATGGAAAAAAAGCATTTACCTTTCCAGAACCTGTGATTGCACTACCACAGATATCACGTCCCGTTAAGGCTAATGGTATGCATGCTGCCTACAGCAATCCAAAAACCGAAAACAAAAGGAACAAAATGATAATTAGCAATAAACAGGCAGAATAGGCCTAGAATATGTGGTTTACAATAGAAACTCAAATTTCCTGATATAACATATTCTGGCAAAAGATAAGGTGCCAACTATATAAGCTATATGTAACTTAATGAACAAAATGAATTGGTTGTTCAAGTTTGATAGGAACAAAACTTTTGATACTTGGAGTTCAGGAAAATGGCGGAATTGGCAGTTTTGTGGGGAGAAAGAATATTATATCATTTGTTTGGGTGGTGCAAATGTGGAGGATTCATGTAGAGAGGCAGTAGAACAAAATTGAGAAAAGATATTGTTTGTCACAGTAGACTGGATGCAGTCTGGAAAGCATCAGTGGGATTCCAGCAATGGGACCTACAGTAGAAGGTGATAATTCCCTCATAGGATCAGTCCCCGGGAAGAAAAAAACAATGGTGAAGGGTGACAGGAAACCACAACATGGGAGGTCTTTAGCTCAATGACCTCTGAGGCTAAGCTGGACAGTCCTCTGAGGATAGATATTACCTACGCCATGGCCATAGGAGCAACACTGTCATGACTTTAAGTGATTCATCAGTTGCAATTATGGAACCCTGCAAGATTAAGATAGTTCCCTGCAGTGGTTGCTGTAAGGTACCATTGACTGGTCAATAGCAAGATCACAGAGATTGATAATCCTTATTGAGTTCTAGTCATGGTGGACGATGGGGAATCTTAGACAATGGGCCTGAAGATGGAATTCCAGAATTTCAGGAAAGTTAGGAGCAATGGAGGACTAACAACAGCAAGGGCTCGTGAGGTTCAAGAGATCAATCGGGCGAGTAAAGGGGCATTAAAGAGATGAGGAAGCCAGTAAAGTTGTAGTATTTGAGGTAGGGGGCAGAAAACAGATTTTGGAATCTCCAGAGTACAATTGGTCAAATGAGGCGGTAACCTAACAGGTAGAAGATGATATCTGATAGAGAAATTTGAAGAATAGTACAGCAGAATTTGAACCAGAAAAGGGCTACACAGAATTGGGGTAAGTAAATACACGCCATGTAGCATTGAATTATAATACTTGTGTTCCACCAGATTTTCCATATTTCAAATTTATTTCCTGAATGAGACAAGTTTGTGTGGCCAAAAGCCTTAAAATAAAGGCCCTAAAATCCATAAACATAGTCACCAAGAAAATTAATACAAAGGAAAATGGACAGCATTTTCACACCAACAGATACATAGATAAGATCTGTAAAACCCTTAAATTTATATACATTAAGAATCAGAAGTATTGATACCATGGAAATATGTGTCAATGAATTTTCTCGGATCTAAAATTTTACAGAGATCTCCCTAACAAATCACACATGGGATGCTCAAAGTTAAGGTTTGGTCTTACCCCACCATGACTAGGACTGAGAGAATAACTCATTCTCCTTGAATAAACTCCTTCCCTTCCATACAGAGTTTGCATGGGAATAATAAAATAAATATCCTAATGCTACTCATACGTTAATGTACATAATAGGTGTAGAGTACAGAATAAGGTAAAATTATAAAGGTATTCATGACCCTTGTAGAAGAAACATCCATACGGTCTGTCATGTTCATATGTAGATTAGTAAGGTTTTTGGTGCTTTGGAAACTATTGACATCTCAATATCATCAATGAAGTAAAATAGTAGTTTTGCAAGCCAAGAATATCTCAGTATGGGTCCCTTCACAATCGTTTAATACTTGTCATATGTGTCAAAACTCATGTTCAATATTCCCTCTATCAGGAAAAGCAAACAAATAAATAGCACCATTAAACCACCAAAGATGTTGATCCCAACCTATATGGTATGAGCAAACAACAATCACACTAAGTTGCCGAAGTTACATAGAAAATTAAAATCATTGAAAAGGGTTATCAACAAGGTTTCAAAAAACGCTAGGCGGCCTGCCTGGTGCCCAGCGCCTAGGCGGGCGCGCCGTAATTTAAAAAAAACAAAAAACGCCTAGCCCGCCTGGGCGCCTGCTCAGGTACATCCGCACATGTAAGGTTGCCTGGGTCTAGGCAGGCGGATTTTTGGTCCAGGCTGCCTAGGCGCCATGTGGACCGTTTTTTAAAACATTGGTTATCAATTAGAATAAAGAGAGGCAGAGCATGTACCACAAAGTAAATGAAGAAGGTGCCTTACCTGAATTGGAGTAGGCTTCTGATACCCCAATGCCTCACAAGCTCTCAATAGTGGACGAGAAAGATTGAGCTCAAGGAATGAGTTTGCTGAAAAAGAACTGCCTTCCGATGATGAAAAAAAAGACTTAGGGGCTTTGTGGGCTTGTCCAGCATCAGCATCTTCCACTTCATAATAATTTTCCTGAATAAAAAGTAATAAAGTAGGAAACCAACTACAAGCACATTAACATAATGGTATATCAAGACAATTGTTGTCATCAAAGTATCAAGAAACAAATGATTAACACTAGCACCACAAAACGGGCTACACAAAATTTCACCCAAATATTGGACAACTTGCTCAGAAACCACTCTCATTTTCATGACTCTTGCCGTATTCTCTAGATGAGCTCAATTCAGTCGGCAGTAGATTTTCTTTCTTTTATGTTCCTTTGGGTTATTTTTCCTACTTTCGGTATCTTTCCTCTATGTCATATGAATGATAGGTTCATTGTAGGACCAACTAGGTCCAAATGTTGGCTCCTGATAATGGGGGTCTAGATGGAGATAGTACATAAATCATGGGCAAATGCAAGGAATCACTGTACCCAAGGAGGTGGCAGAACAAGCAATAGTAAGGTATTACAAGGTTTATCTTAGAAAAAGTTTGTAAAAGGTTGAAGGAAAAGAGCCGGGTTAAATACAAAGGGATAATATTGGGCAAATGAGAAGATAATAGATCAAGGAAGCATGAAAGTGGCTTCTCGATTACATGATGAGGGGGAGTGAATTCCTTGCATGAAACTTGGAGGAAGAGAAATCAGCAGTCAAGGGGAGGGATTCCATAACTCAGGAACAAGTTGCAGGAAAATCTGGTCGAGAATCAAACAAGGGAAGAGGGTCAACAAAAATAGGTTCCTAACAAGACCCAGACATTTTTTAAAAATTGTGCCAAGTGGAAGATTCCATGCTTAGAGCTTGGACCTTCCAAAAGGAAAGGATGAGAAAGAACTGAAATTGAGGATGCAACCCTGCTGAGGTTTATGGATTCTCTAATGTTCATGTAGCAACATAGAATGGGAGGAACAAGTGTCCTAGGACGCATGCTGCTTACAGTAGAGAAAAGTGGTTACCAAATTCAGTTGACAATGCCAGGAATAAAGAATAGTTAACAAAGAATGGTGGAAGAGTCGAAACTGAAAACAAAAAGGGTAATGTTATTTTAGTAAGGCCATATTGGAAAATCAGAAAGGAAGATAGACAGCAAAAGAGTAGATTTTTTATGAACTTGAGAGGACAGTAAGGATTGATCCATCATGGATAAGGAGAAGAGGGTAAATCCAAAGGAACCAATGGCTCCTATAGGGTGGTGCAGATGCCACTAATTTCCCACATAAGGTACTTTTGACCAAATCACCCGATTCGGAAGCATAAGACCCCACCAAATGACCCATCACATGGCAAACATTGGAGTGAACATCTTCAATGGGAGATACATCTTCCCCTATGGAATTTGTGTATCTCAAGGAGGAGTTTGGAAATGCCAAAGTAGGAGTATGGAAACATGTTTGAATACCATGGAAGGCTAGGAAGTTGGTGTATTCTGATCATTTCTGTGTAAAATTTTGGGGGAGATATTTCTCATCAATGATTAGGACTTAGGAGTAGTGAAATGATATTACATTTACATGTATATATATATATATATATATATACTTCACTGGGTATTAAAACTGCCAAATGTCTATATTTATGGGCAAGCAAAGACAACTAAAATCTTCAGGTTCTTTTCAGTGAGCTTCAAGAAAAGCAACCAAGAGGCACACAGAAAGCCACACCCCCCGCCCCCCCCACAAAGAAGACACGTGATGACTTCTACAAAGACCATTAGGTTCAGAAACAGTGGCCCAAAACCAACTAATGCAACCAATTGTGCTAGCACATCAGTCACTCTTCAACCTTCATGATTACTTCTCAAATCCAAATTGTAGGAGACCTAAATGTCCCGAACTATGAGTTCATGCATATTACTTCTTCAATATCACTCAGTGAAAGTCCAATTTCACATGGTTAGTCCCCTAAGACAGCAAATGCCTCCACAACTAAGTTTCATATTCTATAAGACAATTAAAAAAAGACATACGAACACAAATTTGTACTAAACATAGAAACCAAGGTTTTGGTGTCTGTATCAATGATTAAACTGTTAAAGCTTGGGGAACTGGAGGCAGACAATGAGATGAAGTTTGTGAAATTATCCTTATCTTCTTAATATCTAACAGATTTTCGTTACCATCGAAAGAAATGGAGAGCTTTAAATTCCATTATCTCTAACACTTCCATAACTGAAATTGATTCAAATTAGAAGTTCCGTACAGAGGAAGCTATCAAAAAGATGAGAACTTTACTCTCTTGTCTGGCTCAGAAACAGCACTCTCGTTTTCCTCTGGGTCTGGAAAAGAGAAGTTGGGTTGCTGACGGGCTCTCAGTATCTTATCTTCGACGGAAGTGGTGCTCCTCCTGGCATGCTCTTCAGCCGCTGATTCAGAGTAAGCAGAGAACTCCCATGGTGACTGACGAGCTCTCCTCGGCCGACTTAGGTGCTCCTCCTCCTCTTCGTCAACTTCTTCTTCTTGATCCTCTGTTTCTTCAATTTCCTCTTCTCTCTCATCTTCCTCTTCCTCTGAGCTGAAAGCGTCGAAATGGAAGCCCGACTCCATTACAGGATTTCAAAAGCGCGGGGAAAGGAGAGAGGTGAAGCCTTATGGTGGGCAGTGGAGAGAGAAGGTGGGCGGGTAGGAAGAGAGAAGGGAAAGAAATCAACAAAAGAGCAGGGGAGGAAGAGCTGCGGCGAGGGAAAATATCATAAACGGGTTTGAAACCCTCGCAGCATCACTAAAGGTATTTTTGCCTTTGGATTGATACCTTCGGTTTTCCATATCAATCCGTACCGTTGTCAACAAAAAAAATAAAAGAAATAAAATATATATATATATATAGAGGATGCGGTTTCTATAAAGTTGCAACTTTAGGTTTGTTGTAAAAAATACTTAGTATTATCTTAAAATCTATTTTCTTGCCTAATTAGAAAATTTTAAATTTCAAAAATAGCTAAAATTAAGTAGATCTATAAATACATGAAAATAGACAATCTAGATAATGTGTTTCAAGATGCACTATTTTCGGGACTCAATAACCTTTTTTTTTTTAATATTCATACTTCTCGATGTCAAGATGATCGATTAGAGTGTTTTTCAACATTAAAACAACATTTCCGATAGATTTTTGAGTTGCATATGTTGCAACCTTATAGAAACTTTTCCCATTACATATATATATATATATATGTATATAATATATATTATTAAAATAAACATGGGTGAGTGTTGAGAAAAATACATTTGTAAATATGGTTTGGGAAAACTACCCATTTAAAATACATTTGTAAGTCCGACCATTGTAACTTTTCCCATAATCAATTCTAAAGTTTGGGTACTCTAAATATAAAGAAATTTTTTTTTAGAAGAAATCTTATTTTTAGTGTTATTGATTTCATAAATTATAGGTTTGTCAGTAAATGTGAATTTAACCTTGTGCCATTCAATACTAGCTTCTATCCCTGTATCATTAATTTTAATTGGATAGAGCATATTTAGAAAGGGAGTCCCTAGAATAATAGGTTGACTTAAACCTTTTACCATTATGAAGGGGAATTTGAAACATACATCATTATTGCACACTGCAGTATCTGGCAGTTTATAATTGATAAGCATTTTAAATTTTTAATTCTTACATTACATTCATGATTGTTTATATTGATGATGTACTTGTTTTCTCTTAATCAATTGATCAACATTGGAAGCATTTAAGTACATTCATAAAAGCAATAAAAAATGTTGGCTTAGTAGTTTCAGCGAGAAAAACAAGTCTATACCAGACAAAAATAAGGTTTTAAGGACATAATATTTTCCAGGGAAGAATTGTTCCCATTGATAAAGCAATAGAATTTGCATCAAAATTTCCTGATATAATTACAGGAAAAACTTAATTACAAGGCTTATCAGAAAAAGCTCATCACCCTGGAGTTGTTCGACCGTTTATGTGGAAAAGGCCTCCGAAATAAAAAGAGGGGCTCCAAGACTGGTTATAAATTATAAATCTCTCAACAAAGTCTTGAGATGGAGATATCCGATCCCAATCAAAAGTGACCTCTTGGATAGACTGGTCAATGCTTGTATATTTTCAAAATTTGATCTCAAATCAGGCTACTGGCAAATCTAGATTGACGAAAAAGAAAAATATAAAACTGCTTTTAATATTCCCTTTGGACAATTTGAAGGGAATGTTATGCCTTTCGGATTAAAAAATGCACCATCCGAATTTCAAAATATCATGAACAAAATTTTTAATCCTTAGACCAAATTCATGATTGTTTATATTGATGATGTACTTGTTTTTTCTGAATCAATTGATCAACATTGGAAGCATTTAAGTATATTCATATAAACAATAGAAAATGCTGGCTTAGTAGTTTCAGAGAGAAAAATAAATCTATACCATACAAAAATAAGGTTTTTAGGACATAATATTTTCCAAAGAAGAATTGCTCCCATTGATAGAGCAATAGAATTTGCATCAAAATTTCCAGATATAATTACAAAAAAAACTGAATTACAAAGGTTCCTTGGTTGTTTAAATTATATTTCAGATTTTTATAAATATTTGGCTTTAGATGGAAAACCTTAATTTCAAAGGTTAAAAAAGAATCCTCCAGAATGGACCGAAGAACATACCAAGGCTGTCAAAAAAATCAAAACAAAAGCTAAAGAATTATCATGCTTAGCTCTATCAAGTCCTACAACTTTTAAAATAGTGGAGACAGATGCCTCAGAACAAGGACTTTGTGCTGTGTTGAAACAAAAGGTAAATAATCAACAACAGTTAGTCTGGTTTACCTCTAAGACCTAAAACCCAGCTCAATAAAATTATTCAACAGTAAAAAAGGAAATACTTACAATTGTTCATGCTGTTACAAAATTTCAAAGTGACATGCTTAATCAATCATTCCTCATAAAAACCGACTGCAAAGCAACCAAGGACATCCTTCAGAAAGATGTAAAAAATCTCTTGTCAAAACAAATCTTTGCAAGATGGCAATGTATTCTTTCTGCCTTTGAATTTACTATCGAACATATTAATGGTAACACCAATTATTTGCTTGACTTTTTAACACGAGAATTTTTGTAGGGAGGGTAGAAGGACCCAGCAAAAGAACATGATGGAAATAGTCCCTAGTCCAGGATCATCCCTGGCATCACCATCAACACCAAATGCTCTAATAAGAAGGCAAATACAAGATATTGATATATCTTCCCTTCAAACATCAATAAACACTCAAACTCATAGTGTTAAATCTATATACTTGGAAACAACATATATTCCTTTGCTGATCATAGAAAATGAACATCAGTCAAAAAATCCGACTAAAATGGCTGCTTTATATCGCAGGCAGCATATGCATATTAATATGGGGGACAGATACAGAGAATGCTACAAAAGTATCCTTATGGAAACAAGGTCAATTTTCATATTCCATCATTATATAAATAATGATACTGAAATAGCATATTTAAAATTTCAAATTAAAAACGTTATTTCTTACAAAGAATGGGATCCGGACCCTTTAAAGCGAAAGATCATGAACGCGAAAGGATTTAAAATCAAATCCTATCACTACTATGAATACATAAAGGCTTGGGATGAAGTCTTCTCATACCAGAATACAAAAAATTCCCATAACTAGTATATTCAGTTCAAAATAACTGAGCCAAATAAGTTTTCAAACTAGTTTAAAAATTGGTTTTCTATATGGGGATCAACAAACCAGATTCTACCAAGAGAACTACAAATTTCTCAAAGAAAATTCTTTGAGTATAATAGATAAAGTCTTAAAAGAGACTACCACATATATTTTATGATCTTATATTAGGTCCCGTGAATTTTAAAATGGGATTATCAAGTCTCAGTAGATGATATGGACAGATGGGATTATATCCTCGAATTAAGACGGCAGATCCATATCAAATGGTGGGATAACTATAAAAATGAATCCCTAAATCTAGACAAAATAAAAATGAAATTTATACCTTCAGTTCACCCCAAAAGCAAAAAATGGAAATATCATAATATGTTGCAATATTATAGTAACAAAATCCCAACCTATCCAAAGAAGATCTTAAAAGAAAGCTCTGGAGCGCAATAGAAGATAATGAGGAAAAAATGTCCACTTTTACTCGAAGTGACGAGCAAGGAGATTACAGTTCAATGAACGGTGACGATTGCGCCGGAATCGAATTTTCTTCAAATTAAAGAAAATTCAGGGGGGACCAGAACGACTCCAACCTATCAAGGACACGTGTCCCAATCACTGTAGCTACCAGCATGCTTATTTTTAAGCCTTGTTTTTACCTTTTCTGCAAAAAAGTGTGGTAGACCAGCAATAAATTTTTCTTTCCAATGGTCTGACTTACTATCTTTCCTTGATAATAGTCTTGAAAAAATACATGTTTGTACCATTTGTAATGAGAGAGTGTTGGACATTTTAGATTTGATAATAAATCTTCGGATCTTGTTGTCAACGAAGCGGTACTCCCTACAAAATTGAGGGTGATAGTATATATCAACGTATTAATTGTATCTCCTTCTTGCATTATATTAGCTTGGCCATCTTCACTTTTGATTATCCACTGTTTTGAGGCATTTAGTATTTGATTTTTTGATTCCTCATCCATATGAAAATCCCACCAGCCTCTTAACCATCATGTGAATCCACATATTATGGCTTTGGCTATCTCATGGTCTTGGTTTTCACTTGCCTTGCAGGCAGTAGCAGACATGGTCATATGTTTCATGAGATCTAAGATCTGATTTTCTACCATGCCATCTATGTTCCAATTTACTATGGATTTTCCTGAATAGGAGACCGAGGCAGAGATTAGATCTTCTTCTATCTGTAGATTTACTGGGGTAGGTTTAGGATAGTACATTCGAGTTTGGGACATCGGTCTTACTTTTCTCTCATAATCAATTCTATTGATGTCTAAGCTTTCAGTTTTAAAAGCTTTTTCCATATCATCGATTTCTTTGTCAGGTGCCTTTTGCAGGACATGAACATCTCCTTTCATGGAAGGAGGGCCTTTTTCATTGATGTTTAGCTTCTTTAGTCTTTTAACCAGTTCATCTATTAACTCACTATGTTCCTCTTTTTTCTTTACTCCTTGCATGTTAAATTTTCCTACCTCAATAGTTGGAGGAGGTTTGAACATGACAGCTTCGTTTTGCGTACCAATTCTTTTGGTTTCTGCAATTGGACTTAACTTATTTACTGCATTTTCTATTCTTGTAGTTTGTTTTCCTATTGTCTGGTGAAAAATATTTGTATAATTATTCTGTTCAATAATATGGGGTATTCCTTCAAGTTTAGCCATATTATAGTCACTCTCTTTGGGTCCTATTTTGAAGGGCGAGGCTTTAATTTCAATTTTCTCCCCGGACGTTTCTCCTTTAAGTTGTAAGCTAGTCTCAGGGGGATGAATGGACTCAATTGTTTCTCCTTTGGTAGTTTGAAAGGTCTGAAAAGATTTTTCAGCCTTATTTACTTCAAATTTTGGAATTTTTATTCCATAATCTTTTGCTATATATTTTAACCATTTAAAAAATTTGACAGTTGCCTTGTGCTTTATCATGAAACAATTTAATTTTTGGTGGAAGGCATCTCTAAGAGGTTCCCTAAATTATTTGAAGAACCATTATCTTATCTTTCTATTTTCTTCAGAGTATAAATCTTTTATGATCCATTCCTTATCAATTTTGAATTCTTCCTTTGGAATAACACATATATCAA